GATTAAGTCGTGATGGTAAGTGTATATTATCTGATTAACGTCCAAATAAACAATAGTTAGAGACTTTGGATGGCGTGGTTCAGATTTGTTTATAAAGCTGAAGGTTGATTCTCTATTTATCCACAATTAAAACTTGTGTCCTGAAATATTAGGACTTTTTTATATTTTATACCAAATCTGTTCTACTACTACCAATGCTTTTAAAATTTATACGACTGTAGGATATGCCCTGATAACGTTATCTTGTTGTGCTAAAGTAATATAGCAACTTTAACCTTTGGAAAGATGTAGTAAGTTTTTTGTTGCAAATGACCGACTGAGATTTAATCAAGGGATTCAATCAGTTTTCTAAGTGAGAAGTTTATTTTAGATACGGAAAAACATAGGGGAAAACAAACCTAACGTCCCTAAAATCTGTAGTCAATTACAAGTTTCAACAAGAGATTGTTGAAATAAAAGCTTCTAGCTTTTGTAACTTGCTTACCAACGGCTTAAACTTAATTTCCCTTACATCTTCAGAGAGAACACTCAAAGGTAGTTCTTTAGTATGAATGTGATTGTCACAGTACTAAATCTAAAACTGTTATGTGATAATACATCTCTCTTCATGCCTTCAAAGTCATCAGACCTTCTTTTAAGTTGAAATTCGTACGACTTGATATTACCATGGTCGTCAACTTGACTACTTGAGACAAAGCGCCTCACATAAATATTTCCGAGCGAATCCTTAATAAGTCTACATTTTGTAATTTATCAGTCAACAATTGCGTTTTAAACACCGTTGACGTATAACTGTGGGAGTGAAACAGAAAATATGACGACTACTGAGTGATATAGAGTGTATCATATTTTTTGACATTTATTGATACGATCAAACGCAATGAGTGTTATCTAATGACCTATGACTTTCATAAGAACAAGAATTATTCGAATTTTAATTTATTTAAATTTATAAATACATGAGTTTTTTAAAGGACGTGAACATGTACGCCAAATGTGTCTAAAAGGAGCAGACATTAATGTTTATTAGAACGACTATTTTTTCACTCAAACAATATTTAGCTTCTGTTAAGGACATGCCTATTAATTTTATCGTTTTAAAACCAAACAAATTCACGATGGTATTCTAAAGACAAAACATTTGAGTCGAAATGTAGTGACGAATAGCTAGCATTGTTGGTAATACAATTTCATGCAGTTTGGGATATAGTCAGTACCAAAAGTAACATCTGAAAAACTTGTTTACACTTGTAATTCATTATCTCTCCCGAAGGAAATATATTGCAGTTTATTGTACTAGCTAATGTGAACATGTTGGTATTTATATATATATTTATGTGGTTACAGTCCATCTTCTCTATTGTGCATACATAACTTTGTCATTCTTTAGACGATTTTATTGAATCCTATGTCATTTAAATATATAACTTATAAAGCTGGTTATTGGAATGACATTGCTTGACCTGGAAGCAGTTCGTCTACTTATTTTTTGAGTTCTGTTCACACTCCACTTCAAGCCCGGGTACATATGAAGGTTTTCAATATTGACTTTTATTTTTGGATTTGGAAACGTACATTTCGAAGAGTGAAATTGAGCGCGGTGAAAAAAAAGAGGGCCACACTGCATTTTCTGAGGTTTATAATCATATGAATGACCAGTTTTTTCACGTCGTTCCCCTTCCAGAGATGTCTTCAAATCGTATAATAAGTCGATTCTGTCATCAGTCTTTAATCTAGAGCTGTGATGTTCTGTTAAGGCTGGTTTCCGGCACACAAGTATATCGTGACCTAGATAGTTATAAACAGTGAAATCAATATTATCTGCTAACGAGTTGAGATCAAATTCGTTCTTGCAACCGGATAAAAACGACTCTTCATAATATCTTTGCAATTGAAAAGTTGATTTCATGTCATGACAACAGTTATTTAAGTTTAATCCAAACTAACAATGGAAATACTCGATTTACAGTTTCAATATGTTTGTGACCAGATAGACTTTGGAAATAGGATGTCATGTCAGTCAACCTAATCTAATCTTACCTTAAATGTATCACCAAAAGGTACTAATATCATGCTCTCGGGTAGAAAATTCTAGTAATGCATTACTCATTAAGAACAATAAAAATCTGGATATAAACTATTCGATCTCGGTTTGCGGACTTTCTTAAAAGGTCCTCTTAGATAATTAGTCCCATATGGAATGAAAAAATAAGGTATGTTAATGCCAAGATAGTATATTATACTACCATAAATTATATTATTGTGGAAACCAACTGATTCCCCTATATCCGTACTTTATTGTCCCTCAGAGACATATGCTTGTACACTCACCTGAATTATTCCTAATAATAAATATGTGACGGCAAATCAAAATCAGAAATAAATGCGTCTGTAAGTCTTCAACATCGAAGATGACTTCATTGAGATTGCTGGACAAACTCAGGATGAAGAATTTCGGTGACGCATCCGCAGTAAATCACGAGTGGTTAGGCCGTGCTTTGCATCCCCTGTATTTAATACTCAGCATCGATCAAATTATTCTCAACACATTGACAACTTTCCAAATATACCTTCGAACTTCTTTCCTGACTTTTGATTTGGCTGGATTTGTGATATTTTGACTATGGATATGAGCTAAGCTGTTGTCAAGTATTGTATATGTGTGGTATCTTTGTCTGCCAAGGAAATGGAGGTAGTTCTGTAGTCCTGATGTGTTGTGAAATATTTCTGGTTACACACGGTGGTTGCAGTCATGTTTGTGAAGCTAAAGACACCTGTCGAGTGTCTGCTGGAAGTACGCATCATTTATCTGTTTAACCGTATTCAGGCATAACTTATAACTAGATAATGACGTCCTATAAGAAGATGACTACCACCTACTAACCACTGTTTATTCCGGTCGATGAGTAAATTATGATGTTATAGCATGTATATCCCGACAACTGACGTAGAAACATCTTCAACAAAGAAAATCTAGTGAATGTGTTTGTGTAAATTCATGTCAAGATAAACACAACTTATATCCCTTATGACCAACGGTTTTCAATTTTTAGCCTGTGAGCTGAAAACAAGATCTTGAAGATAGTTGTTTGCATTTCCGAGAAGAACGCTTACTTCTACGCCAATGTCCTCGAGATGGCAAACACTCTTCACATCAGTGATGTATAACAGCTGGTCATTTTCACCAGCCATGTTTGTCTTTAACGCCCAGAGAAAATACGAAATGCAGTTGGCACAAATTGTGATCAAGCAGTCTAAGAGACCATTCTCGTACGTGAATTACAGATAAAGGACACAGCATTGGATTCCTGACCTAATTAAGGATATGATAGAGGATGATCATAATAAGGCAGAAGCTATGGCGATCTATTTCGAAGCAGTTTTCACTTAGGAGTCTCTCCCAGATGAAGAACTAGACCCCAATACAAAATCAACAAACCGTTTGCCCACCGTGATTTTTGATCGAGACGATATACTTAAATCCCACGGTACTTTAGACACGGAAAATTCAACAAAACCGGACTGAAGATGCCACACGTCTTTGTAGTTTGACAGCGCTTTAACCATTAACACCTAACATGAAGCGTACCTTCCAGCTGACATCAAAAGACAGAAGCGAGGAGGTTCGAAGATACAGTTGATAGGCTATCAATATATCGAGGATCAACTGATCTGATCTGGTCAGCGATTGCAAAGGATGTTGAGCACTCGTGATCTGATGCGGATGCATGGCCGAGCGCTTTCAGCTAGACGAGTCCATTAAAACTAATGTGGACAGCATCCAATATCGAAGATTTACTGAGCTATTTATTTTGGGGATTTATTTACCTCCACAGCCCAAAATCCTGAGAAAGATTGCATAATATATTGCAGCCCCACTAACTTTGATATTCAATATGTCACTTGACCAAGGAGTGTTAACTAGGGACTGGAGGGATGCTATCGTTCCTCCAATACATAAATCATGACCAAGACAACTTTGACTTCAGACCTGTCAGCCTCACCAGTGTCGTAGTTAAGGTACTGGAAAGAATAGTCAAAAAGTCCATAATCACATTCGTGCAAGCCATTAATTTGTTAGACAACGAACAACATGATTTCAGCAGAGCTTTATCTTGAACATCAAAACTCCGCAGAGCACGGAAGCAATGTAAAAAGGCTCTAGACGATGGAAAATCAATGAATGTTGTCTACATAGACTTCAGTACAGTTTCCATTAGGTACCAACAAACAGATCACTTTTGAGGCTGAAAAATCTAAGCACTGCTGGACGTCCCTCTTAATGGCTTAACGATTTCCTGTTAGGTCGTATAGAGAAAGTAAGAATAAATTCCAAGTCATACACCTGGAGACCAGTACTTAGTGGAGTACCTCAAGGTTCTGTCATAGGTCCTTTAATTTTCATACTGTACGCAAATGATCTCCCAAGTGAAGATGAAACCCCAGTACTATAATACGCTGGTGATGTAAAAATCTGGAGAGAAATAACAGAAGACGCAGATGCGTGCTCACTTCAAGCAGACATAAATATTTTGATTAACTGGTCTAAAAAGTGGCTGATGCATATTAACGCGGCAAACTGTCCACATGGTCTTTGAGGAAAGAAAGTTAGATGGTTACATCATTGAAGAAGTTCCCGCACCCGTGATCCTGACTCACAAGAATCTTGGGGTGAGAATGAGTTATGATATTTGGACAACAGCACATTGCGGAGAGGTTGCAGCTAGCGGTTTATAACCCAATGGTCTTTAAGACGAACATCCTCTCAGTTATAGACAACTATGTTCACTACAACACACATAGTCTTAGTAAGAACTAAACTTGTAACTGCGTTCAGACTGCAAAGTCCTGTTCAACAGGTGACTCAGGTATCCTGGAAAAAGTACAGAAAGCGGCTACCGATGCAATTCTAGAACTCTGAGGTTTACTTCACAAATGAATGGCATAGGCAGTAGGTGTTCTGTTCTTACTATACATATCTGGATCATTGTTTATTGGGACAACGTTAAGTGCATTTTTGAAATGGAGCAGTACATCAGGGTTATCTTGTTCTCATGTTTTCCGTATATATAAATAAATAAATAAATAAGAGGTGACCGAGGCAATGAACCTTCAATCCAACTGTCGGTAGCATTTCTGCTACTACTCTCTGAGGTCACGGTATCCTTGATGTACGACAGCTTATGCAACTGCCTGGTATCTTAAAACTTATTTTCACCTCGAAAACAGTTTCAGGTGGACCTGCACCTGAATCACCAATCTGCTAACGGTGGCGAGTAGATTATTTGGCTCTGCCTAGTAAAGACAATGAGGGAATGCAGACTTATGATCACCTTAAGGGGCAATGTGAGAACGTGTATAGTGTGTTTCTGTCCGCCTAGGTGCTAAATACTGCCTCAAGACTGGTATGCTTCAAGGCCTGAACTAAGGGTGGGGAATGAACTGGTTAAGCGCGTCAGTTACTTTACTCAGCTTGGAAGTCTTATCAACCCTGGTGAGTTGGCGTCTGACAAAGTTTCATCACGTGTTCAAGTAGCCTGGTTGGCGTTTGCCAGAGGACCATTTTTGGCGTAGGTGCGTTTACTGGACAACAATTCGCTCCGTTCTTTATGGGAATGGAACACGACCTCCAAAAATCAAGGATATTTGAAGGTCACTGGTGTTTGATAGTAGGTATCATTGAGGCATTTCTAGTGTACTCTGGGACCATTGAGTTCTCAGTCTTCACGTTTTATGCACAGTACTACGTAAGTATGAGAAACTAGTTGACGAGGTGATAAATATTTGTTGACAGAATATTGGGGCATTTATTATGTCTGCCCACCCACCAACCACCTCAGTACTCAATGAGGCCCGATGTAGGTGTATTGGGATAAATCCAGATGCGACCAAACTAAATCATTGCACCAATCCATGAAAAAAATGACTTTTGGACTGAGCTTTGTAGGTAGACACAGGTGCAAACTACCTGGTTGGGGTCTGTATGATTATCATTAATATTTGTTAGAGAATTTGAATGACATGACTCAAAATCTTTGGCAATGGTGCAGCTGTACTCACTCTTTCTCTTCATTTAGATCCAAATTTCTAAATTCCCCATAAACTTCTATCATTTCACTAATGTATGTTTTCTTGTTGAATTGTATCTTGGGTGTTTTATCTATTCTACTACCACTAATCCTGTTACTCCCCCTACTAAACTAGAATTTGCCCTAATAATTTCATCTTGTCATGCTGATAGGGTACGGCAACTTGAAGTGATGTGTATATGTGTCAGGTTCTGAGTTGTGCTTGAATAGACGGAGTAAAATGTACTTTCGTTCTTGATCGCTAGATAAAGGTTGATTCGATGTATCTCGGTTACTTGAAAGCCTTTACTACAATCAGTCGTATATGTATCACCAGTAAGCTTAAGCTGATAGGCATCAAGTCACGATCAATAGACTATTTTCAGCCATATCCAAATAATCAACTGTTCAGATTCAAGGTAAACTTCTCAGGCTACGGAATGTTCTAGTAAAGTCCCTTCATGGTTCGGCATTAGGACTACTTTTCTTAATCCATATAGATAGCCTTCCTCTATAAGTGTCGTTTGAGTTATGGCTTCTTGCTGATGATGTTAAACTTTAGAGGGAGTTTGCAACCAGGATAATAATCTGAAGCTTCTGGATCAGCGTTGCTTCTTTTCCAACGAATGTAAGGAAATGAGCCACAATATTAACATCCTCAACAGCTTCCTTGGTCATAGCCCAGAGTTTGAACCTCTTCATGTAATGCCCTATAATCTTACTCCGGATGTATTTAGAGAAAACCGTGCACCGAGAAACATAAAGCACGTTTTTGGCCAGATGATAAAACTTTACGTAAATTCATTAGTTATATTCGACCCTATTTAGAGTACGAAAATATGATGTTTTCTCCTGCACTTCAAAATATGAAGAAAAATCTGGAATATATCCTAAGTAAATGCACGACTTTAGTTCGGGGACTTCATTTCAAACCTTATGAAGAACGTTTTAAATTATTGGATTGTTATCCATTAACTTTTAGAGGACTTAGGCGACATTTTGATGGTCTGTAATATTTTAAGCATCCCTGGGTGCCCTCTAAAATACTTAGGCTCAGTTCCAACACAAACCTTAGGGTCGATGGCCAAAAATTAAAGGGATAACAAAGCAAACTGGACTGTAGGGGCAGCTACTCTGGCTGAATTGGTTCTATAAACGTCCCTGGAGTCCTTCTAGCAGAACTTTAATCTATCCTTAAAGTATTAGGACAGTATTTCTCTCTTTGTTAAATAAACCTAGGTCCATACTTAGAAGTACCGGGGTTCCACTGTCTCTAGATACAAAGCCAGCTTAGCAAAATTTTCTATTCCATCATCACCATTCACACCATATTATTGAAACGCTAGTTACTGTATACTTAGCCTTCTAATCCTGTAGTTACTTCTGGACACCCATATAATTATTGAATTATGACCTTTTTTAAGATTTCCCTTTGTGATAAGTGGAATATTCACCAATCTCGTCAATTTGGACAATAAATTATAAAAAAAAGGATCATTTACATTTCGTTTGACATCGAAAAGTAGTTTTTTTCTAGTCACAACAGAACACAAAACGTCCAACGTGTATAGGACTAGTTATCCAAATACTGGATATTTTGTGTTTACTGATTAGATGGACTGTTAGGATAAACTAAACACGTGAGTGTCGCTATCTTAAAAATAAATAAGGCATGCTAAAAACCCTCGGTAGCGATTAAAGAACTGATAGCCTACTTTAAATGTCACGACAATGAATCATGATTTGTTTCATTTTACTGCGTCTTTCGATCCTTGTTTTCAGTATGAAGTATTGTGATGTGATTGAACGGTCTACTTGAGTTATGGTATAAACTCTATTTATTGCGTGATTTCATGATTTCCTGGAAAGCCATACGTAGTTGTTATTTACCAAAATATGTAATTTTTATCAATCGTTTTTAATTACGTTAACTCTCTTCACGCATGCAGCATACATCCTAGACAAGATAAAAAATAATTCAACTAGCAATTTTTGTTATTTCAAAGGCAATATCCCGACTTTCACCAGGAATCAGCTCAATTACACTTTTCTTCTGATTCAAGATTAAACTTCTGTATAATGGGTACTTCAAATCCAGCATAATTTTCATGTAATAGGGAGATTTGTCGCACACCGACTGTGTAACGAAGTAACTTAAAATTCTGTATTGTGGGATTTCCAACGTTTCATGTCCTCAAAATAATTAAGTATTATGTGGACAAATGTTGGATTATAGGGTTTTTTTGGGTATTCTGCCACAAACAATCAAGTCAACATACATCATGTCGCCTGTATAGATAATATCATATCATCAAGGCTCTAGTTTCCACTTCACATAAGTTAGAATTTCACCTCTTTCTTTACCAAGGTTTGACATATTCCCACAGTTCAACCTGACAGTGTGTCCTCAAAATGGTGTTGAGTTGTTTCCAAGCACATAAAATTGATCAGTCTACCCTACTAGGGAAACTTATCAGTAGATTTAGTGGTGAGCAGATAATTACCAGCTTTTCGATTTTCATGGTGTGACCACTTTTACAGCTAAATATTCGCTATTTTTCATCACATGATTATAGCACTATCCTTGCCATTTACTAGCCTTGCTCAATGTGCAGTGCCTTTTTACACAGACAGTCCAAAGCTCTGTGTTCCGAAGGTTTATAACCCTATACATTAAGTCCTCGAAATAACCTTTGGTATTCTTATCGTTTAGCTTTATCGCACGCACCAGTGCTTTAAAGACAACATACGTCAAATGCTGGAGACTTCTATTTTAGGTTTTTAGTAGCTGTATTTAATGAAACGAAACTATTCTGTTTCTAAGTTTCGTGATAGGCTAATGCGCACTTCGTTTTTTTCAAAAAGATTATGGTAATGCTTGTATATTCACGATAAAATATTTTCCGTCATCTCTCTACCAGAACAAATGACAGTGCATCGTTTGAAGTAGCAGCTGACATCTGACATACTCTTTCATTTTTACTGCTTATTAAAAAATCAAGTGGTTCTAGATTAATTTCTTAGAGATTCAAAGCAACGAAATATTTATTGAGTATTTCTAAAATGTATCGATCCTTTTCGTCCTAAAAATAAAATAAAATTAATAACAAACTTTGTTTTTGTATTTTATTATGTTGGAGAAAACAAGTGATATTCCGAATACATAATACCCTGGCTCGTTACTGTGCTTTCCCAGGAATGCTGCAGTACATTTGATCCGTAGTTTTACTTTTATGAAAGTAATATTACTTTCCCTACGGTTTTTCCGTGGTTTTCTCTTGGTTATTTGGTCTCAATCCAACTCAGCAATCTCCACAGCCCTATATTCATAATCATCATGTGCTCACTAGTGATTAGCCTTGAGAGGTAATTCCTGGAGCTCTAGTGAGAAGTCGTGATTAGTGGAGTTCAGCAGTGTCGGGTGTGAGACAGTTGCCCACCGAAGATAATGGAAGTGGGTCGTGAAGCATCGTGAGTTTCTTTAAGTTTAAACATCAACACGGTACGACTATCCAGTGCTTCTAAAATTTCAACGGTGGTCTAACACCAATTGGTTCATGATTTCAGTGCAACTCAACAATCTCCACAACCGTATACTGATAATTAATTTATTATGATCACACGGTTTTATGTCGAATAATATTTTTAAGTTTCGAGAAATTATTTGTGGGAGTGTAGTTTTTCGTTCCTCATTCCTTTTTAGATACTATAATCGAGAGAAAAAAAACTCAGCTAACTAATACAAAAACTTCAACTTTGTATGTTTCTACATGGGCTTTATTATTTGCCGCCCTGTTTTTAAAGGTACATGAAATATTTGGGAAACAAAGTACTTGTTCATCATCGATACAGTCAAAAAAGCCACGGAATTACACACCATACTTCGCGTAAAACCTTCCAAAAAGACTGCAAATGATTTTCAAGTTGTGGAAAGTTCACTGGTCAGTGTGCTACTCACCATCATTTTACAAAGTATGCTACAGTTCAAAATCTCATTCTCCTGCATTCGTAAGTAAAATTAAACTACTAATATTCGTTTTAAGACATCCAAGAAGAGAAAACTTGAGGTATGGGAGGGGATAACTATCAAGGAATTGTCGTCAGCTGCTAAAATATCTCCTCACATAATTCTTAGAACCTTAAACTCAGCCCTTGTTACAAAACATAAAGCAAACACCGATTCAAGTATGATTGCCTTTGCACAGTTAGTTAAACTTTAGAGTTGGAAGATAAAGCGATCATCGAAACTCTAGTGAAATTAATGGGATTCACACCAGCGTTCAGACACCAGATTATTCACGAAACAATTGACTGTGATGCTTATCCAAGGTAATTTAATCTCCACAATTGTAAAATAAATTTTAATGAGGATAAGTTAAATAAAACACTACATTTCCTGAGCCACTAAAAGAGGTAAGAAATTTCGAAAGTGCTTTTCCTATTATGTTTCAACTTCTACACAGTAGAGTGCAAAAATCATTTTGCTTTTCCAAGAAGCACCTGTTTTCAAAGTCACTTCCTCTACACATTTAATTGTTGACGTTTTTAATTAATGTAGAACATAGCGTATCTGAAGCTGCTGTGTAATTTTGTTTAAATCCAAGTCCACTGACACAGTAGTATTGTATATACCGAGATTAAATTCTACTTTCAAGCATAGATTTGGCGACTGGTTCCACTTTCGTTTCAATCCTCGGGAGAATAAAAGAATCCACTCGTCTATCAGGTACTTGTTATGAGGCACACCTTAAATTCGAGAGATATATTAGTGCTACTCGGTTTGTCGACCCGAAGTAAGTGGAGCACGGTTCAAATTTGGGGCATAGTACTTGAAAGCTAAGACAAATTAACCAGAAAGATAATACTTTCATACCCTATAACCATTGGTTACGGCAGATAAACGTTTTAGACAAAGTTATTTTAAAAAATGTCTTTTGCAATGAAACTTTACTGATTCTTGGTCACAAAAATGCATTTAACTAGATTACTGAATTGTTAAGATTAAAGTTACGCTCAAATTCACTTAGCTTTGAGCAAATGAGCCAAAGTGGTTGTATATAGGTATCTTTGGAGAAGCTTAATTAGATTTTATCTATTCCAGATGATGATTGTCATAAGCTTGAGAGCGATCAGCGGTAGGATTAGTCGCTAAAGTTATCTAGTGTATTAGTTCTCACTTTGTGAGGTGGAGAAGTGAGACAACTAGATCGTGGCGTGTTTAGGCTACACAGTTTGTTTGTTTTTTGACATGTTACTATGGCCTAATTTTTGGAGACATGGGATTCTTAGTAGAGTTGATTTGGTGGCTTAGTGGTTAAGGCGTTTAACCTTTAACCACTAGTTTCCAGGTCCAAGTGTCACTTCACATACGCGTAGTTGCACAAGCCTTCACACATAAAGTGTGGCCCAATGCTAGGTAAGTGATTGTTCACTTGCTGGGTTCCATCACATGCTGAAGATCTGAATTCCCCTGATTTAAACAAATTTTGTTTTTCGTTACGTATAGGACCTTTATTGGATTACATTAATAATTCTTTGTTCATGTGTATCATTTTGCACACATGGCGGTATTGAAGTTAAGATACTTAGTTTTATTCATGAAAGATGTCCTTAGAAGCGTGATAATGAATAACGTATAACGTATCTAAATGATTGCAATTATATCTAGGAAGTGACATTTCTGTTTATCTCAAGAAGCTCGTCGTGGTCATTTAGTTTTTTATGTTTGCGATAATTATTATTCATTCATTAACTAAATTATAGACAAATAGATGGTGTCGTGACGGGTTCACACCTAGGTCCCATATTGGCTGACATTTTTCTCTCTAAACTAGAAAACGGCTCACTGGCACAACAGATTAACAAGTTTTCATTTTACTGCGATATATGGATGATACGTTTATCCTTTGTAACGACCATACGGACTTGATAAAAACACTTGAGCGATTCAATACAGTTCACCCATCCATAAAATTCACATGTGAAAGAGAAAATGGGGATAGAATAGCATTTTTAGATGTTCTACTTACGAGGACAAAAGATGGGTCATTAAGAAGAAACATAAACAAGAAAACTACTTGGACAGGCCAATATACAAACTTTCTTAGTTTCGTTCTTCTGCAATACAAAAGGAACCTGATCAAGACACTGCACCATATAATCAAGAACATATGCCCTCTAGGTACGGTTGAAGATGAAACAAAGGTATTATATACGACCTTGAAAGAAAATGGACATCATGAGGAATTTATAAATAAATACATAGCCAATAAGAGAGAGCATAGAGTATGCCTAAGCGTGAATAAAAAGCCTCTGTATATTCGCTTACAATCCAGAAGCGATGCACTTAGTGAAATGCTAAGACTGAAGTTACGCAGATCAATCCAAACAACTTTTGGGTGTAACTTGTGACATGTGTGCCCTGTTTATTGTATAACATAACGATACCGCCAATCAGAGAGCAAAGAATTATCTTTTGTACCAATGACGCATAAAACCCGTGCGAGCAGTCTCGAATCCTTATTGGTCCTGCTTTCCGCATAGCCCAACGAGTTAGGTCCAGGACACCGATCTGAGCCTCTGCAATATGAATCATTTATTTCAGGCTTGCTGGGTTTATATACAAACCAAACAGACCACATCGTATCATAAAATAGGAAACAACATTTGTACAAAACTTTGAATGCAGGTAAACTACACATGGTGTTTTCCACACGTTCAATGATCACTCCGAGGTCGAGAGATAAATTGCCTACACTAGCCACCTGTTTCTGTATCCATCAATTCAACTGCTCCTGTGGAGCAAGTTATATCGGCAGATGTTCTAGGAATTTGTATATTCGGGCTCGTGAGCACCTCCCAATGTGGTTAAGCAAATGTGTAGTTAAAACGGTTAACAGCTTCATTTCAGCCCATTTAATTCAGACGCAACACACAACTAACATGGAGCAATCTTCCGCAATAATATATCGTGTTGACAGCAGTCTATCTGATTCTGTCAGACTGAGAATCCTGCAGACGGCTGAAACAATTGCTATTTGGATCAAAAAGCTAGAGCTTTGCATCCAAAAGAAATCTGTTCAGCCGCTTATTTTACCCTGGCCAGCTCCGGGCCCAACTAGTTAATAATCAATTTCATAATATGGTGACGTAATTTGATTAACCTTCATTTTTATGTCCTAAGCTTATCTTATTCACACATCTTACTGTGGTGCGTGATACTTATATTGACATATGTAGTAGTGGAAAACAAACAAATGTCAGACATAAAGAAGGCACAACAACAGAGGAGACCGTGGAAACCTTTTGCAAAGGCGGACATAGTACAATGTAGAGAACGGAAAAGTAACATAGCAGGGGGATCAAGGTCGGGAAAGCTGATCCCAAAATGGGAAGGACCGTACGTCATCACGGAGAGACGTGGCTCGGTTTACGAGATCCGGAGAGAAGACAAGCAGAAGCGCGTAAATGCCAGTCAACTACAGATATGGTTTCAAGACCATTATGAGTGTGAGTCACGAACAGCACCAAAGAAGGCATCTGTACGGCGATCAGAAAGACTACGAAGACACCTTATTAAAATTGGGGACGAGTGTGGTGTGTCTACTTGTATTGACCTAAGTAGTATATAACGCGAGTCAGGAATGTGATTTCTGGCAGCAGAAGATTGGGAAGATCGAGAAAGGAAGAACGGGAATAGAAAGCAATTAGTCTGGAAATGCAAGAACAATGAAGTCTGAGACAATTATTGAACATTTTGCAAATTAAGTATTATAGTATGGTTTTTCTATTTTGCCAAGTAACTCTGTAATGTGCGAAATATAATTCGGTTGTCACCACTTGTGTTTTCCTTCACTACGATACTATTGTCAGTATTATTATTACTATTATTATAATTACACTTGCTAATCTTTTTGAGAAATTTATTCAGCATCCAACCCTATCTGCTATATCTGACCTGAATAATACCACGTAATTTCTGATATGTAATTACATTATCCTCTCTCTCAACTCCATGTTGACCATATGTATACTGATCATGTATCTCACAATTTCATTTCACGTATGAACTAATTCCAGTTAACACTTCATATTAGTCATCCCAAAACTAACGATTTTATTTTATATCACAAACAGTCTTTAATTCATATGTTACAATTTTATATGATGTACTCTGCCTTAAATCTGGCCAATTTTATGGATTATTAATTTGGATTTATAATTAAAGAACCTGATGGGAAATTATTGAAAAGAATATTCTTTGTTCATATAATTATGTTTTAACTGATTGCAATCAAAAAATGTTATTCTGGTTACCTGACATATATTTAGGTATTAGTTCGAAGTTAATGTTAATTAACAGTTTTGTTTCAGGTTAAACCAATTATATTAATAATTTTCACTTTTACATGAGGAAAATCGACCCACATTATGTCTACCTTTATATCTTATTTATTTGAGTTCAGTTATCATTTTCTATCTCAACCTTGTTTCCCTCATTTTTTAGACCACCTTGTCCTCCGGAGAAATGTGAACCACGCCCCCCCATTGTCGCTGTCCTGGGTCATGTGGATCACGGAAAAACAACTTTGTTAGATGCTTTACGCTCCAGTAGAGTTGTTGACGAAGAATTTGGAGGTATAACTCAACATCTTGGCGCATTTACGGTATCTTTGTCATCTGTTGAACGCAATGCTGGATTTACAGATCCCAATCCCGTGTCATTTTCCAGAAGCATCACTTTTCTAGATACACCAGGCCATGCAGCATTTTCTGGCATTCGCTTTCGAAGTGCAAAAGCAACTGATATTATGCTTTTGGTAGTCGCTGCTGATGATGGGGTTAAACCTCAAACTGTTGAGGCAATTCGTTACGCAAAAGAAACAAACAGTGAGTTTTCCCATAAGTTTGTTTTATTTTATGGATGGCTCTTCTTAAACGCATTGAGTAATGATAACGTAGTTTACACTCTCTGAATGGATGTATTCCGTTTACTAGTACAAACGTAATCTGTTTGTTTTGTGTTTAGAAAGAACAGGTCGTTTTGCTAGTCCTTGTCGATGAACATGCATTTTAGAAGTAATCTGGAAGAAAGGAATGTTGGAGTGATCCATTATTTGAAATATACTATGTCGTAATTATTTTATATCTCATTTTTTAATGAAAGTTGAGACACTAGGTCAATTTTCAAGTGTCAAACTTATAAAATGACTCGTTGATTTCTGAAACGGTATTGGTAGGCGGTACCACGACATTCTGACGGAGCTCGATATTCTGTAGAACTAGTCTCAAACAGTCGCCAAATGTCTGGAGACCCTGAATCTAGTTAGGGAAATGGCGAATTCATCAAGTTAGTATACTTCTTTTCTTGTAAAGTATGATATTTCAAGCAAACAGTCAGTCATCCATAAGCGACGTAGAACGTGGCACATTTATGCAACAGTGCAAGTTGCAACACCACATCAGCGCAGCAAAATGAAATTATTAGAAAAAATGCCAAGGTAATAGAAGTAATAACAATATTAGTGATGTTAGAAAAGATAGCTCATACACACTATAATTTAAGAAGAAAAACTGGATTCGCACAATTAGAAGTAAATGACAATCCTAAAACTCAGGATATAAGAGAAGACAAAGAGTGAGTGTATTTTCGCCATTGTGCTCGGTTTTGAGTCGTGCTGCCCATTGTTAGCAGGCTTACCCCAACCACATAGACTATATTTACCAACATGGTTCATTTTAGCAATCAGTGAATTCATGGACTGATGCCAAGCTTTCCAACCTACCCCCACATTAACCAACATTACTCATCAAGCTAGGCGCTGGTTAAGCATGCAAATCATCGGTCCTAACCACTTTATTCAGAAACTCGCCCCCTCAACTGCCGATTTGTCGTCTTTACCTAGAACCCTGCGTCTAACCCCAACATTCCTGACTCAGTGGTCCCAACGTGCACTGTCAATGCTTCAAAGAAATCTATAATTAGGCACTAGCAATTTAGAAATGCCGCCTATTTTTAAAGACCACTTTTCACAGCCACGAAGTAAAACAGAACAAACTGCCACACAATACATTCATTCTTTGATTGGTAGACGTGTACCTCTCCTAAGTCACCAGTGACACAAGTAGTCCTAAGCTAGGCGAACATTCTGAATCCCTGTCGACATTTCGTCAGATACCAACCAAGGTTGATGGAACTTTCCAAACAAGTGAAATGGTCAATGGCCTCAACTACCTCCCCACCATTAGTTTAGACGTTGACGTCGACTACCTCTAGAGCAACATTTTGTGTTTAGGGAGAGAAACGCATCCTGAACACCTTTTTATTGTTGCTTAAGTCGATCATCAGACCTCATTTTTGCAGCGTTTTCACTAAACTCAACTGTCTCATGTACATATTCTGAGTTAACAAGTGAATTTCCTGGTAGTAGGTTAGTCCCCAAAAACCACATACTGAAACCTTTATCTCCCGAAGAATGTCTATGAGAAAGTTAAATAGAAACGGAGCAAAGTGAGCAGCCCCGATAAACACCACTTGATGTCATCAATTGTGAGGGCATTCCGGACGTATGGTATATGGATATGAATGACATTTTTGTTAATAGTCAACGCAACTGGAGAAAGTGTTCTTCAATTAAACTAAGCGTCCTCCAAGCTAAACTATGTAACTAAGGATAAAAATATGTATTGTTGGGGACGTGTTGCGCATGAAATGTATTGTACACTTATTTCGTACATTGAAGGAAATTAGTCTAATTATGGCCAAATTAACGGGGTAAAATTATTTCTAATTTTATTCTCTTGTATCTTTCATTATTTCTCACTTATTGAATTTAGAATAACTTACTTAATACTGTTACTCCTCATGGACTATAGGCTCTAGACCAGAAGTCTTTAACTGTCCTGAGCTCTCCTTTCCACTTGTTGCTGTTCATGGCCTTGATGTCTGCTTCCCATTCCCAACGCCATGTGTTATTTGGTCTATCTCTTTTCCTTCTGACTTGGGTATTTTAAATTAGGGCTTACTGTATGATGTAGTTTGATCATTTTCGCAAATTCCATTTTATTCACTTTCGGCATCTGTTCCTAATTTCCTCATCAGTCGACAGTTGGATTGTTCTCTGCGAAAGTAAGTTATTACCGATAAACTCTGACTAATTGATCTAGAGTATCTTGCACAGACAGCTGTTTCAACTTTGAACAACAGAACTTTTAATGTTTGTATTGAAAATCCTGACTTCGGTGTTAGGTGGTAGTTCTTTGTAGTTCCGGATGTCCTTCAATCGTAGGAATGCCACCCTCGTTTTGTCAATACTGACCTCCACATCATCGTCTGATCATCCTTGTTTATCAATGATCCTACCCAGGTATTTAAGGGCTTCTATCTTTTCCAGAGCTTCATCAACAGGTGTGGTTTTGTTGGTGCTTGCGGTATTGTATTTTAATATCTTGATTCTCCCTTGTGAATGTTGAGGCCTACTTCTGTGTAAGCCACTGCTACACGGGCTATCTTATTTCGCATGTGTTGCTATGTATGGGATAGAAGTGCTAAGTCATCTGAAAGATCCAATCGTCCAAGTTGCACAATGTATTCCAGGCTTATTCAAAGATGTGGAGGTTTTCATAATCCAGTTAACAACCAGAGGGAAAAGAAAATCCGAAAGTAATCGGCCTTTTTCACTTGGAATTTTTCTGATGGCTAACTTCTATGGAAATTTTGAAATTCAGTCCCTCTTAAAGCTTTCGTATGCCGGTGACAGTCTTTCGAGGCACTCCATAGTGTCAAAAAAATTCCATAAGGTTTTCCTATTGCCGTTGTCGAATGTTTGCTCATAACCAAGGAACTTGGCGTATAGCGATGAGTTCCATTCGATTGGTTGATCAAGAATGATCCGCAGTGTCTCGGTTTGGTCTTGACGTTAGGCGTCTCTCTACTGAATCTTTCATTCGGTTCAGCAACACTTGGAAACTGCCTGACACTGACAGTGTTGTGATTATTTCGTAGTACTTACACTTACTAGGATCTCTTTTTTTCAATAGCTTGACGAGGCATCCCTCTTTCTAATCTGTTGGTTCCTGCTCGTCCTTTCGAATTTCTATCAAAGAACACGGTGCATCTTTGCAGTTACCCCTAAATCTCACTTCCATATCTCGGCTAGTATGCATGTCGTCCTGTTGCTTTGTCACTTGATTAATCTAATTTATTCGATTATTGTTGTTGTAACATCTATATGAAGGTCGTTGTGTACGGTATCGATGTTCGGTGGGCCCGGTAAGGCTGGTCTATTCAAGAGCCCTCTAAAGTGTTCTACCCACCTGTTCCACCGATGTTGAACTTCAGGGATTGAGTTAGCTTCTCCGTTCTTGACTGGTTACTCTGGTTTACCATATCTCCACGATAGCTTCTTATTTGTATCATATAATTTTCTTATATTTCCTTCAATTGCAGCTTCTGCTGTCATTACTAGGTCTTCCACATACTTCCTCTTGTCACATCTAATACTCTTGACTCGTTTGTTTGCTTCTGTATATTCTTCCTGTTATGTGAGTTTCCATGCTTTTATTTCGTTAGTGTTGTTAGCTACTCTTATTGTTCTTCCTTTCCTGAATCTTGTTCAGAGTATCAACAGAGATCCACTGTTTATTCTGGTGCTCCTTCAAATCCAAAACATGGCATTTTGAAACCATTGCTTCTTTAATCTCTTCCCAGCTTCTTTACAAAGTGTCCTCACTTTCTTCTAGTAGATCTTGTAAGTGTTAGAACTTGTTGTTGAGAGCCATATTGTGCTTCTTGAGCTGGTTAGCATCTCGAAGGTGGCGTGTGCTAAACTCTTAATGCGCTCATTGTCCAATTGACCAGTGTTTCTTTAGCTTCAGTTTTAGCTCGGCCACCACTAGATGATGATATCAAGCGGTATCAGCTTGTTTCTTTATTTTTACGTCTTTCATGTGCCTTCTGAATTTTTTTATTTATGCATCTGTGGCCGATCTGGTTTTCTGTGGTGATTTAGTGAAGCTCATGTAGATTTGTTTATGCGTTTGTGAGTAAAGTGTTGCCACCTATTATCATGTTAAAAACATGGAAATCTACTAGCCTCTCATCTTTCTCGTTCCCAACTACTGGTCCATGTTGCCTTGTGATGCCTTCGTACCTGTTGGTGTCCACCCCGACTTTGGTGTTCAGGTTCAGTCACGCGGACCCCAAACAAGTAGTTTGCATCTACCAACATGGCTCAGACGAGAAGTTAGTGCCTTCAAGCACCGATGCTACGTTTTAGTTTGGCCGCCTCTAATTTTCTTGCAGGCATCCCCAACACTAGTCAGCATTGCGCGTCGTGGTAATCGGTGTTCAGGCATCTGTAGCCGTATACTAGTAGCTTACTAGTATCTTCTACTCTTAATGGCCTTGTTTCGCAGCCGTAAAGTCGAACAGAACAAACTGCTGCGCAGTATACCCGTCTTTATTTGATAGACGGATATCACACCGCCTGAGGCGTTAAAGCCATTTTCTATGAAGACTCTTCGACTCCCAGGATAGAGTCTATCTGGTTAGAGTGATTTCTCCAGTTAGCGTTTTTGGTAATGTTGTTTTTCAAGGAATTGTATTTATAATCCCATGTCCAACCCTCTTTGTCTACCGAGGTTCGGGACCGACAGTAACCTTACAAGCACACCAGGTGGACTTTTAAATTATTTATTCAATATTAATCAATGTAATTTTGAGTCATGCTTCAGGGATGTAAGAGATAATGGTACTGTCATTTTACCCTAACCGATGTTAATGAAAGATTGTAAGCTCAATTCCGCTTTCAAATACTATACAATAGATTATCAATTCAATTTGTAAATTACCTATTATTTTAGATATGATGAAATTCTTTATGAAACGATCTAAATGGATATTATGTATATTAACGTTTTAGCTCCTATAGTTGTCGCAATCAATAAAATTGATAAACACGATATCAATATGGTAAGCAAAAATTTATTGTTTTTAGCAATGAATAATATATATATATAAAAGCAACTGAATAATAATAATAATTTTCTTTTATTTACGTCTCACAAAATTATGGTAGGTTCGCTTGTTTTAATGACCAAATTTTTCGACCAATCGGTTGTAGATGGCATGGAAACTGGCACATGTATACTTTATTCCGAGTTATAGCACTCACCCCCACCAGCACTTATGCAGCTACCCAGATACAAGAACTTCTCGACTACTTCTATCTGCTCAGCACACAGGGTGAGTACAGGATTAGAATCCTGCCAGTCTTGTAGAAGTACTTTGCACTTCGAAGGTGCAAAGCACATACCATACCTACGGACACTGGTTGCCAACTGATTAAGTGCGGATTGCATGCCTTGGGCATTATCGCACAGTAAGACAATATCAGCCGCATACTCAAGGTCGAGAAGTCTGTCTCCAGGCAACAGATCCACACCACAATTACTTACATCCATCAGAGCTGTTTCCAGAATGTCGTCGATGGCAAAGTTGAAGAGGAATGGTGAGATTGGGCAACCGTGCCTAACCCCACTGCTTGAATGGAACATTAGAGAGAGGTGGTTGTATGCCCTCACTCTGTCTGAGGTGTTTGTATATAGGGCCCTTAGGATGTTAATAAACTTCTCAGGCACACCCTTCTTCAATAGACAATCCCAGAGAACAGTCCTGTCCAACGAATCGAAGGCAGCCCTGATGTCAAGAAACACTACGATTGTTGGCCTTTGATAAGTATGACGGTGTTCTAACATTTGGCGGAGGGTGAAGATATGATCAATACATCCTTGACCAGAACGAAACCCAGCCTGTTCCTCGCGAGTCAATCTTTCCCAGGTTTTGAACAACCTACGAAGTATGACGGAAGCCAATAGCTTGGACGCAATCGGAAGTAGAGTTATCCCCCGATAGTTGTTACAGGAACGACGTGAACCCTTTCTAAAGATAGGGACAACTATCGACTCATTTCATGACGTTGGCACACTCTCGAGCTCCCAGAACTTTGTAAACAACGTCGTCAGTTCCCTAGTCAGAAAGTCACCACCATCTTTAAAATGAGCCGGAGGTAAGTCATCTGGGCCAGGTGATTTGTAGCGCTTCAAGAGTTGGAGTTCCTTGCGGACTTCCGCCTCATTTGGTGGATCAGTCGTCACCGGCCATGGAGGGCAGGACAGTCTGACCGATGTTGCCGGAGCAGCAGGCCAGTTGAACTGCCCTTCGAAAAATTCTGCCCATCGTCCAAGACGTCGACGGATGTTAGTGATTGGCATCCCATCGTCTTCGCAGATTGTTTCGCTCACACCAGACTTCTTGCTGCCAGTGGCTCGGATGAGTTGGAAGAGCTTCCGGTAATTACCAGATGCAGCTGCTGCTTCCAGCTCATTGGCACGCTTCGACCACCGGGCTTCTCAGTCCTTACGCAAGCTTTGCCCAATTTCCTTACGTAACATCCTTCGTTTGTGGTCAAACTCACGGTCACCTCTTAAAATCAATGCTATGCATTTTGGTTTCCAACTATCAGGAACAACGTCCTTGTTTAACAAATGTGATAAGACTACACTCAGAAGTGTTCCCAGGATCCAAGTCGTTTCTTTTAGTATAGTAGGTTTAACCATGTCTGGATCAGAAGAATCTATTTATTTGTATGTTTTACCTGTGTTATGCTAGGACCTAAATGTGTATTAAATAACTCTTTTGGCGTTTTGATTTAGACACTAGATTAGATATTTTGTTATGCTGTGTTTTGCAAGTATTGTTTTTTGCTGTAAATAAGAGTACAATAATACGTAAATGACAATCTTCAAGATCAAGCGATATAATATACACGTCACTTGTGTTAAACTTGATATCATCTTGTTTTAAATCAAACCTAACGTAACTTGTGATAGATTCAATTTGTAGTTCTCATGGATGCTTAATGTTGTTCACTTCTCTGAGCTATATAATTTATTATCGAACTTTTATTGTTGTTTTGGACATCATTAACGTCTTCTTCGTGCAGAAGTAAGCTTCTTGTTATTACGAAACCATTGATGTAGTGGTGATATTTACAGATTTCGTTGTCTTCATATATTTGTATTTAAGTCGAATGTCTTGTTTGATTGACCTCTAACTAGAGTTTCTTTAGTTTGTATGTGCTTTATGTATTGTTGATAAATAAAAGTTAAACTGTAAAATGTTTAATTAGACTTTATGCTAATATTTACATAATCATCGAATAATATGCCAGCCAAAAGATACTAATTTCAATTTTTTATATATTAGGATAAAGTAGTCCAAGGTCTGGCTACTTATGAAGTTTTAACTGAACAGTTAGGTGGAGATATACAAGCAGTTCCAATATCAGCATTAAAACGAATAAATCTTTCTGAATTATTAGATGCTATTATTCTGCAAGCTGAAATAATGCAGTTGAAAGCAGATCATACCGGATTGACTGAAGGTATTGTTTTAGAATCGGAAACACTTCATGGGATTGGGTAATTATTAGTAAATTAATTTTCGTATTTGTACACGTGTTTATGTGTTTAAGATCGATTATTGTCTAATGTATTGCTTTTTTTTAAAAAAATATTCAAAACATGCTATTTTCTCTTAAAATCATTTCCCCAATATGATGCTTGTCCATATTCAACACTTATAAACGTGTCACTTAATTAAGTTCAAAAGCAAATGTCATAGGCTTATCTATTACAGGGATTGTAATACGTATTACATACTTGTATTTGGAATTGTGCTGAAAACAAGTGATATATATGACTAGTGTAGATATTAGTTTGTACTTTATGAACTGTCATGAATCTTGACGTTTATGGATCGATTTTGTGTAGACTTGTGCCTGTCCACTGTTGAATTATCTCAAACTGAAAGGAAACAGCTGTCTAATGCTCCCTGATTTTCATTGATACTTTAAATTATATCAGTTCTAGGTGAAAATCATCTTCAAACTATGTGAAAAATTAACACAAAACCATTTTATCTTATGTACCTTTGTTAGATGCATAGGTGTTTTCAATCATAGACTAACATTTTTCAATTTCCTCCTTCCTGTAACGTGACGTCTCGTTTTTTTTTCTTCTGATTTCACTCACAATCTAAAGGAACGAAGTTTTTTGATTTATTTGATTTTCGCTTAACTATTATTGGGTTCTTTCTAAACAACAGATACTTAATACTCTTCTCTTATAGCAAAACGGCTACCTGTCTTATTACTCGAGGTGTTCTGCGTAAATCACCCAATAGTGGTCCACTTATAGCTGGTGAAGCAATCTGTACCCCACGAATCTTGCTAAACGATGCAGGAAAACACGTGGATTCAGTTAAACCCGGATTTGTAGCGCGGGTAGCGGGTTGGAAAGATCTCCCCTCTGCAGGAGATCTTATCCTAGAGGTAGAATCTACGGTAAGTCTTGTACTTCTTGTTTTTTTATATGACTTGTAGGTCATTACATATTTCCATTGAATGGGATTATGGAGATTCGTTCAATTTGAAGATGATTTTCGTTGCAAACTGATATCATTATCAGAACTGTTCATTGCAAGCATGTTTCCAATCGATTTCTGAATACTAATCACGGTTTCGATCAGTTATCTTGATTGTTAAATAGCTGAACGGAAACTAATTAATTGATGCCATATTCATGACTGATGTTTACTCAAGATACCGACTTGTTGGGATCACTGACATTCCCCTCGCTGAAGAAAGAGCTAAACGGTTGATTACATGGATATATCTTCATCCTACTTATTTTTCTGCTATATGCAAATTGCCTGACCTATCGACATAATATACAATATAACATCCGCAGATTATTGAATATGCATTAAAATTAGAACTTTACATGTCGTTCAGTGTAAAGTGTCTTGAAATAGTATTCATGTAATGCATAAAAAGTACATAGCATATAATCCACTTGAATTTAATGTATTTACTATAAACATCTGTATTTCCCAATTTCCGACGATTAAAACATGCAAAATGTTGTAATTATTATGGTAACGCGCCCATAAATTATTGGTTTTTTGAATACATTTCATTTTAATGCGATTCTTTATTTGGAATTTAGTGATTCCTCACAATTATCGAACGTATCGACTTTTTGTCCAATATGTGTATTTCAATGATTTAACACTAGTCTATATAAATCCCTATAAGATACTTTTCATGTTTTCATATGAATAACTTGTAATGCATTTCGTACACATTATCTGAAATTTGTTGTTGAATAATTAGACTGTCAGTTTTGTTGTCTTTTTCGTTTTCACGAATCACTTTAGAAGCGAGCTAATGAAGTTCAACGATATCGGCGGTGTATAAAGGTACAGGACAAAGTTAAAGAAGACCGTGATGCATATGATCTTCGAGCGTCTCATCATCGAGAACATCGCGAGAAATACGCAGAAAAACGTTCGAGCCTTCATCTACGTCAGTGGCGAAAACTTAAAGTATGTCTATCGTCTATTCGTGTACAGTCTATCAATTCCAACTTACCACAAATGAAAATACTAATATAACTGAAATCTCTTCGTCCCTACAAAATGTTTCGGTTTCTCTAAGCATTATCATGCAGAACAATATATTTCAATCGGAGTATTTTACACCACAAACACGAATTAGGTATTTTTCCTAATACATACATACAAAAACTATGAACTTGACAATTATTCAAGTTATTTGGATGTTATTTATTATGCTTAATATTAATTCAAAGCTAAAGGTATACAAGTTCAGGTCGTAAATTCACCTTAGTTGTCAAATCTTTGTTATGTCTCAGTGTAGATTAATTACTAGGTCCACTCATGTGACTACCTTAATTTTCTTCCTTAATACAAAACTTTATCAATTTAACCATTCTGTGGTCGATTGTCTGTGTAGTTTCATTAAAGTCACGAACCGCTCTAAGCTCGACAACCATTGAGAACCTGGAGGTACTGGACAGGCGTTCCGTTCTAGTATGGGACTTCTCAGCAGAGTTCATACACGATCTCATAAGCAGAAATCGAATCTTTGGTCTCGCGCGTGAACGCTTAACCTCTAAACCGCTGAACCTGGATCCATTGGTATACAAGTCTAACTTCAATCAGTCCACAATAGTGCGCAGCCACCTTCGGTGGTACCTTCCTGACACTTGACAAGGTTTAGCTCCACAACCCTATATTGTTTAAGTAGTTTTCACTGAATACTGTTCTTAAATGAGTATAAACTTAATTTTGTATATCCTTTAATTTAAAGAAATATGTACACTCCATCAACTGCTGTACAACAATATGAACTCCTTGTGCAATCTCATTCCAGGTATTACAAATATTAAATAACACAAACTTTACATCGGACTGTATTGTTATAATACACTATTTGAGCCAATCATCAAATTCTTTGTATGATTTATTTAACAATAGCATCCTAATTAATTACTTGGAGCTGAAATTTGTTTGAATAATAGTTCCTACTCTAAACAATTAGCACAATCCCGGCTTTTCATGATCTTGATTGGTATTTGTGAAAAAATGCCAATTCCTAATGTTAAAAAACCTATTATTTATCGTATAAAAATGACGAATCAATCATTGTAATAATTTCAGGAAATTATGTTTGGAAACATGATTTATTAAACTGTCTATTCTCGAAATACAACAATCGTTATCGTACCAATTAACTAATTGTTTATTCTAAACTATATTCATAATATAAAACCAGATTATTCATGGCTCACCACTTTTGGTATGACTAATGAATAGGATTGTTTTTCAATTAATGTCAAGTTCTCTTAATACTTCATAGAAGACTCGATTTACATTTTTAAAAATGACAGCTATTGGCAAACAAAAATGCGTTAAAAACTTATCAGTATCAAGTTATCGAAATATATTGTACATTTAGGCTTGTTAAAACAATTTCTAAACCCACAATACTGTACATTCAAGGTGTATTACAAGGTACAATTTCGGAAATCATATTCGAGTGTCTGAATATAAATGCAGCTGTATTCTCACTATATTTCTACTCTCACAAACCGAAGCATCAGTTTTAATAAGTTAAGTAATTCTTAAGAAACATTTGAATAATGCAAAGATTATAAAAGTTATGTGATACATTACTGCAATGCATTTCGAACAACCTGATCACGCATTGACAGCTCAGACTTTATAAAACTAATAAACGTTAGATTGATCTGGCGTCCTTCCTATATTTTGAAAGTACTTCTTATTAGTCTTATATCTTGTAGTCCGGTGGTTTATTTGTTATAGTACTTTGATTTCGGTGATCGATCTGGTTGCTACTTCGGCTTGGATGTCTGTGTAATATAACAAGCCTATCATATCCAAATTGTGGCTTAGAGCTGACTTCATGAATCTATACTTGACCACTTAGATCTTTCACTTATTAAGTTGATTATTCTTGAAATTCGTAATAGAATACAAATTAATAAGGATAACGTAGTCGAAGAAATCCGCTTAACTTTCATCTCAATCATCAGTGTACTTTACATTATTTAATTTTTTTAAAATTTGATTTAGTTAGAACGTGATTCAGCTGAATCTAGCTTATGGAAGGAAAATTCTAATAGAATTTCCCTACCACTTGTAATCAAATGTGATGTACAGGGTAGTTTAGAGGCGATAAAAACACTCCTTTCTACCTATTCATCAGATCAATGTAAAATAGAATACTGCATTACCGGTGTTGGTCCGTTGACTGAATTGAAGTAGATGCGGCCGCTGCAGTTAAAGGTTGGTTTTATTCTATTAGATTGTTTTGATTTTTTCATCATGGACAACATTTTGTTGATGTGTTTTTTAAAGGTTGATTCTAAAAAACCAGTTTATCATGTATTCAGAATTTATATTTATAAAAAATATGAATGACCCTAATCATAACATACCACTGTCATTTTATAATTGATGTGATTATCTATCAGTTGTGTGTATTTATATAGTGCTTATGCTAAAGCTTCTATATCCGCATAAGCTTGGAAATAGCAAGCGTTTCGGAGACGTTACTGTCTTAAGTAATCACTATAAAAAAATGAAAATTGCTCGATGCGAGCATAAAGTTGAGCAGTGCTTCTGAAAATCTAGCTCTTTAGATAATTGTTAATGTTCACTTGTCTACCTGAATATTTTATTGAAGCCACTATCCACATAAAGATCACGTTCGAGTTTATTGACAGCTTTGCGGAACAGTGTTGTTATTCATATCACATATGTTTACAAGCAAAAGCTAATAAATGAGGCTTGAATCCCCTTTAATATGATTTCCGCTATTTTTAAACCCGTAAAATCACTACTCAGAAGTAAAACGTCTATAAATAATATTCGTCAATAGGTAAAAACAGTAGTTCCCTTGTTTAATTCACATGATCAACTGTCACAAGTTTTGATTGGAAGCTCAATTTTCTTGGGAGGTAGTATCTTCCACATGGATGCGACCAAATTTTGCAAATAATGAAATCGTATTGATCAGATGTGTGTCTTCCTTTCTGTGCTTCTTACCATTTTAATCTAAATTACTAATATAATTAAGATTGGACACTACAAACAAAAAGGTAGTTTTTATATTCATGCTTATCATAGTTTCATCTAATTTAACAACAGAAACTTCATTACATGTACTATATATGTCAACGTTTAATTTCCCTTAGGAAATACCTATTTTTAAAACTATTAAATAGAACACCAAAGAGATTGACAAGTACTTTGTATAATTCAAATTTGGTTACTTACGTAAAATCACAAAACAATATAAATAATACATCCAATGTATCCGCAGCTGGAATATTTGCGGTATAAATCTAAGCTGCGGGTAAACGATATAGCAACAGATAATGAGTCGAATAAATACTTGCAGTTAATAAAATGTAGAAATATTGTAAACACATTAAAAATATCTATGCTGGTTACCCCTACAAATTGTTATCCCACTTAACAATATTTTAAATGTGAATATTTGTGGTTACATTATTTGTACACTATTTGAATTGTCCTGTGTTTTTGTCACACATAGTACTAATTCTTCTGTTGTATAAAATCTTTCCATCTTCACGTCGAATAGAAACTCAGACAAACTTCTTTTATATTTAAATGTTCCTGTTGGATAGGTACTGTCATATGATCTGTTAACTAGAGGATACAATGTTCAAGTCAATTCATATCGTTTAATTAATCTGGTTCTTTATTCTTGTTTTCGATACATTATACATAAGACTATTAGATTACACTCGATGGGATAAAGATTGCCTATAAAAATGAGCGCGACATCCTTAATCACAAGGATTGTGACGCAAAATCAATTTCAAGCATGTCATGTACCAACTGCTTAGAAAATATCTACCTGTATAGATTTCTAACTAGTAAAATCATTATAACCATGTAAACCAACAACCTAGCTTGCACAAACTAGTGTCATAAGTTTGAAGATATAATTCAAATGCCTACAGTTAAAATGTAAACTTAATAGTGCATGAATTTTTCAATTTTAGCAAATGTACTACTATTCAACATTCATGCTCTTCCAGAAGCAACAATTACAGCTGAACATAATTGTGTTAAAATTAAAGAATTCAATATTATTTATCGATTGGCTGAAGAAGTTAGGGAACTATTGAATGAAAAGCTCCCACCAGTATCAGTGGAGAAGATAATTGGTTAGTTTCTAAATTTTCTGAATAGTTATTTTTCCCGAATTTGAATAAATGTAGGTTGGTTTATCCTAAAATTAGACATCAAGGACACTACCGTATTCCTGTGTTTTGCTAAATCCTAATATATACAAAGTATAGGATGCAGATATTATTTATGAAAAACACACATCACACTGGAAAACTCATATACTGAAACATGGAAATACTAATCAGATATAATAATTCCTCTCTCATTAGCGTCAAACTACCAGGACTGTTCACCAATAAATGGTTTCTTAATACACATCAATATATATTCTAGGACAACTCGTAACTTACTTTTATTAATTACGATGTATTTTCTCTGATCACCGTAGAACTGATATCATTTATGTGCTGATATTTTAATAACGTATCCCATGCTATTGTATGCTCACTTTTCGACCATAATTATAGGTCCCACACTAATATTCAGCGGGGAATATTTGGTTTAATTCAGTAATTGTTCATTATGTAACGTTAATGAGACACCTATTATAGAATAATGCAATTTATTTTAGGATGCTTAATCTACACCAACTTAAGTGACTAGATTGGTCAGAGATGATTCTTTGAGTACAACTGTCAAATGATCAGTCACTTTTTGTAACATCATCCATTATTATTTCAACACATAAATATTGGTACAAGAGGGCGCCACATAGATCGAATGATTTATATGAGGGCTGTGATACTGCCCGAGTGCCCAAACCGAAGCAGGTGGTTTTCTTAGGAGGCCACTCCTCGAGCCTTCAACCTGAAGGTCTGATCCATAAGGCAGTGGAGCATCGTAAGGAGATGCAGTCCCATGGAAGCCCGTGACCAACAATTGGTTCATACGCCATTTATTACCGCAGGATACTAGAGCCCATGTGCACCATTGGTTTTGGATGCGCTTAAAGCGCCGGACATTCGCTTTTCGTCCTCTCATTTTCGTAAACAACATCCCCGCCAAGAGAAGGCAGTGAGTAGGACTTCCCTGACAGAGGCTGTATACGCGTGACCGTGTGAGAACATTTCGAGAGGGAGAGCGGACTCTCCCAACTCTCGGCCATACCAGGGCCGTAGATGTATGGAAACACGTTACGCTCTGAGTCTGAGTAAACAACTGTCGCTTGTATAGAAATTCCAGTAAACTTATTCATTAGTGACGACATTCAACGACTCCATAGATTTCTGTTTCTTATAAGGCAATGAATAAAGAGACCTAAATTTAAAAAAACCTGTGGTTACAAAGAACAAAAACTTGAGTGAACATATTATTACGTAGTTTGTTGATTTTCCCACGGTTTATAATCAGTTTTCTCCTTCTTTTAGCAAACTATTTTCTCTACAACGTCTACTTTATACTCAATGAAAAGTCTACAATAATTCGATTTTGTATTTTCGAACTTATGTTACCATCTTTAAGGTTTATTTAATATCACCACTCACAAATTAACAGTTTCATTATTAACAATGTTGGATGGACACGCATTCATCCATAAATTTTCCTATTATGATCTTTTTCTTTCAAATCATGTATACCAGCTTGCTTAACAATTTTTCATTTGTTTCAGGTGAAGCAGAAATTCTCCAGCTGTTTACGATTAAAGCATCTAAAAGCGTCGTGAAGACTGGACTTTTACCAGTTGCTGGATGTAGATGTATTAAAGGAAATATTATCGCTAATATTACTAAAATAGGCTCCATTCTCACAGATCTAGGTGAGATTATATACGTTTAATGTATTTTACGTTTACTTTCTGTCAGTTTTTTTTTATGTTACGAGTACTCATGTTACTTGTCTTAGATTGGTAAACCCCAAACTTATCGTTCCACATAATTTATTCCGTAAATATCTGTATGTATTTTCGAAATTGTTCGATACTACGTTTTGGAATTAAAGGACTCAGCATACTTCACCTCCAATATTGACCAGTGTTTACCAACATTTCGATTGTTATAAAGATCGTATTAGTTTTATTATCGACCTTTCAAAACGACTGCTTTAATGTGATATTTCATTTGCTGAAATTAAATTAACTTGGTGATTTCATACTACATACCACAAGATATTCCCGAATTCTACACGAATACGAACCTAACAACAGTTTTCACTTAGTGTTATAAGATAAGATTAGATTAGAAGCATTGTTCAGCAAAATAGTTTGTTATTAATCTACTCAAATACATCAATATGAGAGCTGGAATTCGATTTCAAATGAATTCCTTTGTATATCAATGACAGAAAAGTGCTAGATATTCAGAACTTACTCTATATGATGTGCAAATTAATTTTGCTTTATGAAGGTTGTCTAAATACAAAAATTTATTTAAACACATAAACATTGATACAAGGAGGTACCAAATAGATATACGTCATATAAATCATTCGATTTGTGTGAGAGCTGGGATACTGCCCGGGTACCCAAGCCGAAGCAGGTGGTTTTCTTGGAAGGCCACACCTAATGATCTAGTCCACAAGGCAGTTGAGCGATGTCAGGATGCAGTCCCATGGTAGCCAGTGACCAACAATTGGTTCATACGCCATTTGTTTCTTCAGGATACTGGAGCCCATGTGCACCATTGGTTTTGGAATCAGGGTTTTCCGACTGTTCTAAGTGAACTCTCCGTGTCCACCAACCCGGTTAAGTCGTCGGACATTCGCTTTTCGTCCTCTCAATTTCGTGAGTGAGTAGGACTTCCCTGCCACTGGTTGTATGTGGCCATTTGAGAGGGAGAGCTGACTCTCCCCACTCTCGACCGTACAAAAGGAACTATTTGCATAAAGCACTTACACAGGTGTAGTTATGGAATGAAAAAATAATTAAGCATTCATATTTTTTGGCCAATAAGTAGTTAAGAGCTATCCATTCATTAAGCTATTCTGGTCAACGATTTAAAAGGCTAATTCTAATGATCATTTCCAATAACTTGTAGCATAACACAATCAAGATATTTTTTTTCGTGAATATGGACCAATTTCTTTGGTTTAAATACATCTCAAGTATCAAGTTTAAAAAATCGTGGTATAATTTAACAAAATAATTTCTCGTAGGTAGATTCTTTACTGTGCTCGATGTAAAATCTATTCAATGCAGTAGTGGTTTTAAATCTTGATTTCTAATTACATTCTAATCAGCGAAAGCTGGGCTTGTAAAGTTCGCCATGCGTATGTCAATTATTACGTAATATGGCTAACTGCTACTTCAGTTAAATAAATAGCCAAGTAGTGGTAAGTTCAATGAAGCAACATTGAACTGCTTTGTTGTTAAAAACCTAGATTCCCGGTTTTTCTATTGAGAATTATTTTAATGTTCGCAAATACATTGAGTATCGTTGGTCATTTTCATCTTTACGAGAGTACTAGAATTATTTATTTATTTATTTGAACACATGGATATTGGTACAAGAGAGCGCCAATATATATATGCGCCACACAAAACAATGAGAATTCGAAGAGAAATAGAAAAAAAAAACTAAAGAGTGCAAAAGAAAAATAGAACAATGACGAAGAGATTGGAGTAAGGTAGTGTGGTAGTAACGACGGAACGAAAAGGTACAATCAGAAGAAATCTTTCAGGTAAAGGAGACACAACCACTTTTTATGAAGAAAGTAAAAGAAGGTTACAGCAGGATCGCCACTGGCTTCTATTCTGAGCCATATCTGATAACGTCTCTAACCACTGTGTTGCACCATCTCTCAGACCCCAACCAGGGAGTCGTGAAGGACCGACAGAAGCCAGTCCTTTGGAGCTTTCTTTCATGCCACGACACCATGTCATGCACTGACCACCTCTCCGCTTCTTCCAACCAGTCCCAGAGTCGGCAAATAATGCACGACGTGGAATTCTCTGGGACGACATTTGGAGAACATGTCCAAGCCACCGAAGTCGGTGTTTCAAGATGGTGACACCAATTGAATTATCATCTCTGTGCCCGAACACACGATGCAGAACCTCTGCATTACTGACATGGTGTCTATCTGCTCACCATCCAGAGTGAGTACAGGATTGGAATCCTGCCAGTCTTGTAGATGTACTTTGCACTTCGAAGGTGCAAAGCACATACCATACCTACGGACACTGATTGCCAACTGATTAAGTGCGGATTGCATGGCTTGGGTATTATCGCACAGTAAGACAATATCAGCCGCATACTCAAGGTCGAGAAGTCTGTCTGCAGGCAACAGATCCACATCGCCGTTACTTACATCCATCAGAGCTGTTTCCAGAATGTCATCGATGGCAAAGTTGAAGAGGAATGGTGAGATTGGGCAACCCTGCCTAACCCCACTGCTCGAATGGAACAATGGAGAGAGGTGGTTGTATGCCCTCACTCTGCCTGAGGTGTTTGTATATAGGGCCCTTAGGATGTTAATAAACTTCTCAGGCACACCCTTCTTCAATAGACAATCCCAGAGAACAGTCCTGTCCAACGAATCGAAGGCAGCCCTGATGTCAAGAAACACTACGATTGTTGGCCTTTGAAAAGTATGGCGGTGTTCTAACATTTGGCGGAGGGTGAAGATATGATCAATACATCCTCGAGTACTAGAATACCTTACACGTAAATAAACCACCTATCTAAACAATAGATTGTTACTCAAACAATCTTTTTATTATGCATCAGATATTAAGCTTTGCCAATTTTGCTCAGTATTGTGTGATATTACATTAAGCTTGATATTTCGATGTATCACATATTACTTCTATCTGATGCATTAACTTAGACTATAATAAGGGCATTAAATGTTATTCGTACAACATTTTTTATTTTGTCTTCTATTATCATTTTAGGTGTTGATGGTGAACCAACTGAATTATGTTACCGCATTGTCCGTCCAGCTCACCATTCAACATCACCAAACAATAAACATCGAGAAAATCCAACCACCGCTCAAAAAGACTTTTCTGATTCTAAAAATACCATAGTGGATCGAGCTATCTGTTACTCACTGCGTCATGAAAAATCTGTTGTTGAAAGTATTCGAAAAGGAGTAGATTGTGGTATTGTATTAGTTTCTCCTGAAGTTCAGGATATTCATAGCGAGAATCAAAATTTATCCGCAAAGAATTTCATTTCACAATGGAAAGTAGGAGATATAATTCAGTGTTATGTAACAATAAATGAAAAAAGTTCAATTGATTGGGACTTCGAGACCTATAATCCAGAAACAACAACAACACTCGAAAGCCCATAACTTGGTCATTTTTATTTTTAAAACAAAAACGAAACAATCTGTACAGTAGAATAAACTTCTTAGTATAAGTTTTTTATAACTGCATTACCTGGTTTTTCAATTGCATAAGCATACATATGAGTGTGCATGTTAGTACAGATGGATTCCCAACATCCATGTGACTTAAATGACTGTTTAACATGGAAGAGGCATGTATTAATAATTTGGGCTACAGGAATTTCGAAATCTGAACGGTATTATTATGCTTCTTACAATCTCGTTACAGGGTTAGGGTTGATAATACTAATGTAGAAGTAATTTACGTTTCGTCTGATACTACGATACACTTGGTTACTGGGAGATATTAGTGAATGTAGAATTAAGAAATCATCTGTTTATTACGAAATGAATAGATATATCTCATAAAACCCTCCCTGTCAGTCAGCTACAAAGTAGAACCAGGCACATATATCCATCAGTCCAAGTAGTAAAAAATATTTCGTACGTAGAAAGGTATGGAATAATTTTAATCTTATGGTTTAAGGGAAGACAGTGTATACACCTACGCCATTGTGATCGATCCTGAACCATGTCAACCAGAGTCTCCAAACATTCGTTACGATAGTCACGCGGACCCCAACCAAGTAGTCTGCACCTACCAACATGGCTAAGACGAGGAGTTGGTGACTTCAAGCTCTGATGCCACGTTTTGGTTTGGCTGCCCCTAACTTTCTTCTAGCCGTCTCCAACATTAGTCAGCATTGTGCGCCGTGGTAATTGGTGGTCGGACATGTGCAATACGTCACCCAACCATCTCAGTCGATGAAGATTCATAACCTCATCAACTGATTTACCATCATTCCCTAATATCCTGCGTCTAATCTGACTACTACTTACCCAGTGATCCCAGCAGATGCGAACAATATTTCTAAGACATCTGTAACCAAATACCTGTAGCTTACGAATATCTTCTGCTCTTAGTGGCCATGTTTTGCAGCCGTAAAGTAGAATAGAACGGACTGCCGCGCAGTATACTCGTCCTTTTATTGATAGACGGATATCTCGCCTTCGCCACAGGTGACGTAAGTTGGCAAAAGCCAAACGAGCTTTTCGAATCCGTGCTGAGATTTCGTCAGACACCAACCCATTAGGGCTGATCAGACTTCCAAGTTAAGTAAAGTTGTCAACGCGTTCAACTACTTCACTCCCTATCCTTAGTTCGGGTGTTGACGCAGACCAGTCCTGAAGCAACAACTTGCATTTCGAGGGAGAGAAGTGCATTCCAAACATTCTGGCATTGTTGCTCAGTGCTACCAGAAGACTCAGCATTTTGTCAGCGTCTTCACCAAACAGGACTATATAATCTGCGTATTCTAAGTCGATAAGTGGACCTCCTGGTAGAAGATCAACACCCGAGAATTCAGTAGACGAGAATGTTATTTCCATCAATAAGTCTATGATGAAGTTAAACAAAAATGGAGAAAGTGGACAGCCTTGACGGACACCACTTGAGGTTGCAAAAGCAGATGAAAGTTCGCCATAAGCTCTGACTCGACTAGTAGTGTTCGAGTAAAGAGCCTTCACAAGGTTTATGTACTTCTGTGGTGCACTTTTCAATGACAGACTGCTACAGAATCTCGCGGTCTACCGAGTCAAATGCTGCTTTTAAATCAAGAAAGACCACCATTGTCGGACGCCGATAAGTATGTCTGTGTTCTAGAACCTGACGAATGGTGAATATGTGATCGATGCAGCCACAACCAGGTCTGAAGCCAGCTTGATTCTCTCGTGTTTGCAGTTCACGAGTCCTAGTTAAGCGTCTGATAATTATCGAGGCTAGTATTTTAGATACTATATTAGTTAAACTAATCCCTCTATGGTTGTCACAGGATGATTTTGACCCTCTCTTATATATTGGGACGATAAGTGATTGTGACCAGTCAGATGGGATAACGTCTAACTCCCAGATCTTAGTTAAAATATTCGTCAACCTAATCGCTAAACTTGGACCACCATCCTTAAAGACCTCTGGAGACAATCCATCTGCCCTTCCTCGTTTCAGATTAACTATAGCCTTTTGAACTTCTCCTAGAGTTCGGGAACCTACTTCAATGCTGTGTTCTAGAACCTGACAAATAGTGAATATGTGATCTATGCAGACAGCCTGACTTTCTCCTGTTTGCATTTGACGAGTCTTTGTTGGGCGCCCGATAATTGTTGAGGCTAGTATTTTAATTGCGGACCTTCTACATCTGTGACTAAACGTCATCGGGACTGATGCGACTCCCGAAATAGGTATGGCGGTCAGTACGTGCAAATACTTCACTTCCTAGCGTAAATTTTGGCGCTGACGCAAACCAATCCTGAAGTGACATCCCGCATTTGGAGGAAGAGAAGAGTATCCCAAACATCTTTGCATTGTTGCTTAAGGTGGTCAGATGACTGCACTTTGTCATCGTCTTCATTAAACAGGACCAATTCAAAAAGAGAATGTCCTGGTATAATAGCAATCCCTGAAAAGTCAAATGATGAAAGCGTTGTATCTGAAAGCATGTCTATGACAAAGTTGGACCTGGTACAGTGTTTTGCGCACTATAAACGTTGGCTATGGTGACACTTAAGGAGGAAACCGAAAGAGGAAGTTTAGTGTTGAAAGTCGATGTATGAGGAAGGTTGATTATGAATGAAGTGGTCTTGAGTGCTTTTAGATGTATGAGGGCCGTTATCACTGCCCGGTCGCACGCAAAGTGGAAGGGTTCTTTTGGAGGTATCTGAAAATGATATTGGATTAGAGGAGGTCTTAGTGACCTGAGAGCGTGACTGCGGTGCCCAAGAGGCAACCGCTTGAGGCCAGTCATACACGACCTTTTGTGAGTTTCCATGTTGGCTGCGTACGTGTTGGGACCTTACCACCGGAGACGGATATCCGTGGGATAAGGCGAGGTATTTTTAGGGTCGAACTTTTCTAACCCCGCTCTTCTTTGTGGGAAGGCAGCACTGCAGTTATGTTGGTTGTCCGAAGGAAACACCTTAATGCTGCGCCGCCTCTGTACAGTCAGCAGTACAGCATCGCCTTTGGGTCTGCTGCTTTTAATCTTATCGTTCTTCAACTGACCTATCTGGCATGGTAGGGCCTTGAGGGACGATTGTTCCAGCCAGTATAGCTCGATTCGTTCATTGCGATAGGCAAGCCCGACCACCACATCAAGGTAGAAAAAAACAGCCGGGATAAAACTCACATTATTATGCGATTTAATTCGTGTGAACCAACTACTGGGTATGACTGTGCACTGCTAAGGAGATTTTAGCTCTTTTCAAATGTTGGTTTTTAAATGTAACGTTAACTTCGAATTCATTTTTCCGCAATGAAATTCGCTGTTATCTGTTTAGCTATTCTCACTTTTAGTTTCCTAATTTGAGTGTCCCAAAATCATGTTTTGATGCTATTATGCTGAGTCGTTTCATTTGAAATCTATCCCCTTGAATTTCCTGTTTCTACTAACTTCTCCGTCTACCACTACGTTGGGAATTATAGTCGGAGTGTTTCGTGTCAGCTACCGGTCTATCGAGTTCGAATTAGAGGAATTTTGAAATCAATATATCCCCAATCACAATTTATGACAGATAGATTTCATCCGTATACTCAGATAACTAGTTTACTGAAAACTTTTGGATAATAATTCACATTTCAAGTAGAAATTTGGACATTTTAGCTAACCTTTTCATACAAACTTCTTTATTTCATCAAAAACATAGATTATGTACACAAGATTATAAACAACAAACAATTTGAATGGGATTAATCAACAATAACCTAAACCATCCTGAGAATCTAAATTACGTTACATTTTAAGCGTATCACTGGGTATAAGATTAAAAATTTATGAATCATACGGAGACAACAGTTGGTTTATATTACTAATTGCTTTTAAAGGGTCATCTTTATGCAACAGCAAATAACCTTGAACTTGTGCTGAACTCAAAGGTGTATCCTTTAATAGACTTGCAAACTTTTGAGCTAAATTATTAATGTCAGACGACGTCCACTGTGGGTAAAATCGACTAAACATGCGCATTAGTTGAGACGAGTCGCAAACGTCAACTCGTACACGCATATCAACGCGACCGGGTCGTATTAGAGCAGGATCAAGTCTGTCAGTAAAAAAAAACAGTGAATGAACAAATTAACTACAATTATTCTACAAAGCTGCAGGTGGAGTTATTACATCAGCAATAATAATACCGAAATAAAGACCAGTAACACGAGTGTATTATCGAATCCGACCAAGTAATACAGTTATTACGTTGCTAGTAAATTTATGCGTAAATAGACTGCCGTTGCTGATTATCTGTAAAGTACTAGGTGATGACTTAAGCAAGCATTAGTGCAAATGTCACGAGAACCCCCTAGTTTGACTTGTTTACATGACAAGCTATTTGTGAGATCATTCAAAAAAACACCCAAGTCACACTTATTGTAAAAAACTTTTTATCGCTGGTGCCAGGCTCTTATTTCATTTGTGTGAAGCTTCCTGGTTAAGCGACAGACGAATCTAAAAAGTAATGCATATAACGCTGACTTTGTTTAGTTGTATGATATTTTGAAGTAAACAATATTGGACTATATTGTTCGAAATAAAGTGTTTATAAAAATCCTCAACGACTATACTTATGTACACCCTTCGGATGCACAAGCAACCAAAAAAATCTATATTGAACACATCTCTTTATGACTTAACTTTTTTTCATTTATGCATCTCTGTAGGTAAGTTAAAATTGTATTGTTTTACGTCAAAAGTAGGATAAAAATGTAAAGAAAGGGGGGAAATACGGATTGATTAATATTTTGAGATAGAGAATATTTGTAGTTGTTTCAGTATTTTCGAAGTGTTATCGAGAACCATCCAAACTAAAACCAAATATTGATTGAGTTTTGGTGGTGTTCCATCCCTAAAGCTGAAAATTTTAGTCGCGAGGCCTTCATTCTCTTTCTGAAAGACATCATCAAGCCAGTGAATGCTTTACAACTAAGCCATTTCAGCTTAGAGAACATAGCACCACCAAGTCAAGTTACCATGATTTGTAATGAGTGCATGGTAAACGTCTTCTAGTATGGCGTGTTCTGAGACTAAAATCAATCGAAACGAAACCATATTGCTATTCTTCAGGAGAATCATAGTTTTGGTGTGGATACTATGGAAATGAGAGTAGTTTTAATCCATGCTTCAAAACCTGGCATCTGCAAGTCGAGGATGTCATACGACTCTGTGTTCAGTCGTTGTTGTTTCGGAGGGAATTTCACAACAGGTAATAGCAACACTATGTTTGATAGTGCTTGTTTGGACATAGTGACGATAACTCAATTGATTTCACTGCCCTGAAACATTGGCTTCGGTTGGCTGGACATGTCACCTCAGCGGCTTACACGTTTTGTATTAATTCCGACGCTGGGATTGGTTAGGAAAAGCGGAGAGGTTTACGGGTTGTCACCATCATTTGAGTTAAGCAGGGTAGGAATGGCACCTGCCGGTTCACCACCGCTCCGTTCGAGGTCCTAGAGGTGATCCAACTCAAACGTCATCGAAATCGATTCAGGACAGAAAAAATGGCAATTCTGCTTTAATTTTCCCAACATTCTTCATAAATGTCAAAGGAACTTTTTTAGCTGAAATAATTCCGGGTTTAATTGTTTGTATGCGTAAATATCTCTCCTCTTGATATAGTGTTCATGTTAATGATTAACTATCACTCCTTTTTATTCAAATGCACTTTCTTTTTCTTACAATGTTATCTATACTTTCAGACACATTTTATTATTTAGTACTATGTTGTGCCAAGTTTCATGTTGTTAAATAAATAGATAAACTACAAATAACACCTAAGCATAACAGAAAAAAAAATTAAATTCAGCGATTGATAATTACCTCTGTTCTACCTACTATAGTGTCAGTTTGTTTTGAATTTGTTCATTAATGATTACCAATATGAAAAATTTATTTACGAATAAATGAAATTTAAAATGCATAATTTCACTATAAACCAGTTGTAGTGAAGAAGAAATTACTCCAACTTTACTGATAGTTGTTCAAAGTATCGACTATGGCCGAGGAGTTTAACTTTTATCTACCAAGAAGCAGGCTAGAACGCCACTCCGTCTACTTCGGTTTGAATTACTGGATAATATGATCTAAATAAAATTACACAAACCTGCACCTGGGAAATGAGAGTTAATATGGGAAAAAAGTTTGTATGTAATAATTCAGATACTCACCGATCGATATAGTTTGTAGTCATGAATATGATGCGACCATCCGTCGAGGTTACACCATCTAGTGCATTTAACAATCCACTTAAAGTGAGTGTTGGCATACCTTCATAAGCTAAATGACATTAATTAAACGATAAAAACTAAACGAAACCAACCTTTGCTATGAAGTAGATCATTATTTGATGTGTTACGACTATGCACTGCTGCGTCAATATCCTCAAGTAAGATGATAGTTTGAAGCGGTGCATGCGTTAATAAATGATCTAATCGATCTGCCGTCATGCCGAATTCGCTTAAATTTAATATACTAATGCTATAATCTAAATGGCCTAGAAAATAATTTCAGAAATTGATTAAGTCATTCATTGTTATATTCATTAGTTTAGCAAACAAATTGTTAAAACTTATACAAGCTACAGTAAAAACAAAATGAGACCCCTAATTCATATAATTTCAAGGGACTCGAATAAAAATACTTGGTAATAATCAACCTCAAAAAAGAAATATCATCTTTGAAAATATGAGTCAATTTGATAATCATAGATCGTTGCACACGCTGCGATGACGTGAGCTGTGACAACTTAACCAATCGACATTTGTTTCTGATATTACGAAAATGATAATCCAATAACACTAAATTGTCTACATATAAATGGATCTTTTAAGATTAACAAATAATGGAATTATACTAAGATGTTAAAGAAGGTTAGAGATGATATGCTGAAAACCGTTTTTAGGTACCTCTTTTGGTAAGAAATTAATCTAAGCTTAATATAAAATCTACAATCATTCACATAGCAAATTCAGTTTATCATTTGGATCAACTACTTTTGATGAAAAAAATAAACATTTGCATATTTAGATTTGAAATACGTTTTCAGTATGTGAGCTTGTGTATCGATGTCACTCTATTTATAAAATTGAAGTAAATATATCAAAGTTGGAACCAACTAAAATTATTGGTTCGTATGTAGCTGAAAAGGAAGTAATGAAATGTGGTGAATTCACTGCATTCTGTAAATATTTTCGGTCTTGATTTGTTTAAATTTATGAATACGAATAGCTTGTACGACGCGTTATAGTTCTATTTATTCAGGGTTAAGCATTAAAATTTATCTTGACAAATGACCATTATTTTTATTGAAATATTAAATGAACAACAAATTTCAGTGCAAATCGAACAGAGAATGAAAAGGTGAAACACAAAATATGTATACATATCTTTAAAAAGGTTCATCTGGGAAACGATTTATTCCATTGTAATTGAACGAAAAAGTGTGGCAAATGACTGTTCTAACATTCGTAACAATGTCAACATATTACATACTAATTCTAGGTGAAGAACCGTTCTGTTGATATATTTTACAATTAGTCAGATTCATACTTTCCGCTGAAATGCTTACATGATTATAAATCTGCTATTTGAATTTTTTAAAACCACACCCTCCTGATATTGTCACATAATGATCATAAAAACTACGAGCTGATAAGTAGTATATATGTTACCTGCCAAAGCTGTTATGAAACTAGTTTTGCCACATCCTGGTGGTCCATATAATAAATAACCACGATGATATGGTATACCACGATCAGTGTACCAGGCCTGGTTGTCTAAATGACAATAGAAAGAAAAAACGGAAAATTGGTGTCCAAAGAATACGGTAGTGAGAGATTGCTTAGTAATCGCTACACTTATTTCATAACAAGGAAATTTTTTTAAGAAAGGACTATCATGACTTAATTTCAATACCGAACTACGGTTAACGGATAGATGCTGATTTTTAAACATCTGCAATAAACGCTGTCAGTTAGTTCCTTGAATTTCAACACGTGATTTATTTAGACATACTGTGCTTTCATTTAGATGCTTGATAAAACTTGAGAATGATTTAATTACATTTCTACAATTGACGTCAGCGAAAGTATCTGACAAACGTCAAGAAATGTTATTATTCCCAGATCAACTCAGGGAATAATTATCATTCTATCAAGCTATTGTGACAAAAGATTGACGGTAGTGTTATACGATTCACATAATTAATACGGGTCTAAAACGAGGAGTGTCTCTTATGAGAATCTACGCTCTTTGTAATGATCGATAAAGTTCAATAGGTTGTATTTCAAACAACGAAATACGAAATAACAATGACAAATGAAACAACTTGAAATTATTCATACTGATCTTATATGCACTAAGAGCTTCATCAGTAATATAAACACCTATATTTGAACAATCATGGTGAAAACTGATTCGAAACCAATTGAAACATAACAAGAATTCACATACTGATCAAAATTTACCATAAGTTCACGGGACATACACGGTGAGAAAGTAACATTTTATTGTAAAAATGGGATATTGATCAGTATTTAGCAAATCGAATCTAATACAAAACATATAAGGTGTGGAGAAATAGTTAGATTTATTACTTATCAGTAATTTTCCCCGTTCTATTATGAGGGAGATCTGAAACAAAAATTTTCCTGGATTATTGTTTAACTAATATATCATTCACTATTTATTATTCTCATCGATAGCCTCATCAACTACAAGGGATAAATAATGACTAAAATAAAATATAACAACTTGCTTTTGAAAAGCTTACCTACCAACAAACTCTTTGACATCAGCTACAATAGTTTCAGCTATACCATCACGCAGTATGACAGAATTTAAAGGTCGACGTGGACGAGGATAACCAAACTGGCGCCATTCTGAACCAACAGCCTACACCGTATAAATAGCAAATAACTAAAATTATACACATAATTCTTGCATCCAACAAGTATAACTAAAAATTAAATTGAAGCAATAATTAAGTGGAATCAATTATCTACTCATTACCAATAAGTAATCCTGAGTACGTCTCTGTTCTTTGAGGTAGATACATTCATTGTACTGGAAAAACCTAAAACCAAAAACGACTTCTTCGTACGATTATTACACTTATTATGTTCTTATATGAACCGATATGGCCGACGGAAATTAGAAGACAATCTATACATAGCCTAGGTAAATTATATCATAAAACCACAAGTGTTTTCGTAAGAATTGAGTAGGAAACTTCTAGCATCTAGACAATTACATAATGAAAATCTTTTGTGTGTTGACTGCTTAGAAAAAAATCACAGAGGAAGCCTGAATTATTTTCTTGCAATCAAATAAGTGTACAGCTATGAGACTAATATATTAAGAATCGTCCTAAACGAAAACGTCCGTTTATTATTCACTTTTTTATGCATTCAAATTGTCAGATCACAAGTTAACCTAAAAAACCGTATGATTATCATTCTGAGTAGTAAATGACAACGATAATTTATGAACGGAAAATGAATTTAGAAAAACAATATCAGTTCTACTAAACAACTACTTAAACAGATATTCTTCAGAATATGTAAAATAATCAAACAAACTATAATTTTTTTATTGAGATCATGAACCGATTGATGTTAGACCACCATTGAAAACCTGAAAGCGCTGGAAAGGTCGTTTCGTCCCATTTTGGGACTCCTCAGCAGTGCGCGTCCACGATCCCGCTCGCGGGATTCGAACCCAGGGCCTCTAGTCTCGCGCGCGAACGCTTAACCTACTGGACCCCTGAGCTGGCATCCAATGGTGTTAATGTCTAACCTCAACCAATCCACGAAATCGCACGACCATCTTCCATTGTACTGAGGTAGATACCTGTCTCTACCCGACACCAATTAGCTCCACTGGTCACGGCTTCTCACTAGAACTCTAAGAATCCCCTCACGAAGCTAGTCACTAGTAAGCACATGATAATTATCAGTATAGGGGTTGTGGAGATTATTAAGTTTTTGATTGAAATCATGAACCGACTGATGTGGAGCTTATCCGTGTCGGGTAGAGATAGGTATCTACCTCAGTACAATGGAAGATGGTCGCGCAATCTCGTGGATTGGTTGAGGTTAGACATTAACACCATTGGATGCCGGCTCAGTGGTCCAGTAGGTTAAGCGTTCGCGCGCGAGACTAAAGGCCCTGGTTTCAGTCCCGCGAGCGGGATCGTGGATGTGCACTGCTGACGAGTCCCACAATAGGATGAAAATATAATTATATAAATTCCAGAAATCTCTTACTCCAATATCTTTGGAGTAGTGTAATATGGAAAGTCAAACACATATATTTTAGATGAAACACTTCACTGCTATATTATTACAAGTGTAACTCGCACATTAAACTTTTCAACGTGGGAAGTTTGCACAATATCGTTAATTTAATTATTTGTAGTTATGCATTTTTAAGTCCTGTAGATGCTATTTCTGTAGGAAATATTCAACATAAAAATGAACCGTTTGTGAAAATAATCACGTTAATAATATGGTAAAACTGATATTCAATAGTAACGACAATTAGTTTGATAAATTTTTTTCGACATTAGAGTAAGATCAGAATATATGATAATTGTGAAAATTAAACACGAAAAAGGGTCAGTACATATGTGCCTTAATTACCTTGTAACAACGGTCCAACCCTTTTCACGTGCAAGAGCTTCTTCTCTAGCCTCCTCGAGCAAATCAATAAAAAATCTGGCGTTGCGACCGAACGTCGTAAGAGTTACACTTTCGAATGGAGCTACAGTAGCACCCTGTAAGGATTGTTGAGCACGAACACGTTCAATTCGGATTAATTTCATTTGGTGAACCATATAGTGAACGCCAACGCTAGGCACAAAGCCGAATGCAGCTTTGATTCGCCCGCCTTCTGTACGTACTACACTAGTTTCAACACTTAAGTGTTGACTTGTACCACCTATTTTGTTTTTTCCACCTTTCATTAACGGTCCATTAGATTTCAGCGTAATCCAATGTAAAACCCAGGGATAAGCCTTATCATGACTGGCTACTTCTAAAGTTAAAGTGAAATTACGGCGAACGAGAAGGTTTATAACTTGACTCATTCTTCTAAGGGCAGCCATTCCTATCCCAACTCCAAATAGCCCAGCACCGGCACTAAAGTATGGATTATCTTTCAAAGTGGAGGCTGCCAAATCCTGTACGATTTCCATTGTCCTAAAATATGTCCCAATAAAAAGTAAACTATAGTTTATCAAGTTAAAAGCAATGTTAAGAAAAGACTACAGTTACACAACCTGTTCACAACATCAAACAGGAAGATATTAGGAATTTACGAAGTTTCAAAATATCTACTTCTCATAATAGTTTAATGAGACACTATTATTGATTATTGAAATGCCAAAGTGATGGCACTTTTTGCCCGCCTAGTGTTGAACATTGATGAGTTCGAAAGTGTATATCACTATGAAATGGATTGGAGGTCATACCATTCATGTTGTCTTGAGTTTTGTACTATATATGGACAACAGTTTCAGCGTACAAAAGAAATTTTACTAGGGAAAGACGAATTATCGAAAAAAATACTTTTACATACCACTATTTATGGTTGGAGAGAAATATCTTTTCTATCAAATCTAAGATGGTCTCGTTCTATTGCTGCATGTATAAAATAGTTATCTGAATTCGACTACTTAAATACAGAACATCTATCTAACGGCAACATATATAATCCTTATTCGAAAAGCAATCACTTTTTGCTGTGAATGTAAATGGCATTTATACGATGAATTAGCCAAGTTAGTAAATTTAAGTCTATGGAGGAATCGGAACTCATTGAACAACGACAGTGATTGACGTGAATTAGAAGAAGCGAAACCAGAATTAACGGACTAACTTAATAACCTGTTGTAATATACAACTGACTAATCTGTTATATCAGGCAGGATCGAAAATCAAGTACGATTTATAAAGTTTACCTTATCCACGTCATCCTAATTACTATGGACTTTAAAGTGTAAAAGGTGTAGAGTAGTCAGCACAGTTCAAAGTGTGGATGGGAATGGAAAGATTTACATAGGTCTGAAATATTGATAATAAAAAAGAAACTTGAAGCGCCTTCAGCAGCAAGTCTTCCCATCGAAAGTCCAGAAAATATGAAAATCGAAACACGAAATATGACCCACTTTATGGAGCGAAGATATCATCAACAGACTGCAGAGCAATAAATTACTGTGATGTGTTCCCAGTAATATGCACTATAAGCTTTTAATTACTCCTAGGGTAACTCATCAGAAATATATAAGATAAACCAGTTACTTTTATCATGTTGTTTAGTTACTCAGTATTCTTTTCTCATGGAGATCACGCCAGTAACAGGAAAATGAGACGAAATTCATTGTAGTCTTCATGTTACAACTGACTTACCTTACCACAAATGAAAGGAAGAATATGACAAATTCCGTCTCATTATCCCATTACTAACATGATTTCACTGAGAAAGGGAAAACAAGTGTTATAATCTATCTAGTTCATAAGGTAAAACTATATGAAACGGTCATGCAAATGAATCATTAAATAAAGTCAGATTTGAAAGTCTAATATGAGGAAAATACAACTCCATATTCCCTATGAAAGCCATCAATTTTATTTATGTCCAAGTAGAATTACTATACTCTAGAAAATACAGGATGCAATGGAAACAACAGATACAAAGTACACAATCCAAAAGATAGTAAACAAGTGTAGGAAAAACTTGATATAATAGCCAATATAAATCAGTATAATTCGTACGCGTTTGTATATCAAACTGAGAGTCGAAATTACCACTGTTTGACTTGAAAAATTATACTGTACTGTATGCAATAATCGATAGGAATTAATAATCATATCTGAAATTCAACACCAATCACGTACAAAACAATATGATGAGATGGGAGTTGCAGTAATAACAAAATAATATTTAAATAACTGGATAGGCAACCAATTATAGGTACACGAAATATATATACGAATAGAAATACAGTAAAAGCGGTCTTAGTGAGTACAAAGTAAACTAATTAGACTAGAATAGTGTATTTCATTGTAAACTTCGTGTTCAGTACTCTGTGAACTTCAGACATGTACGTAGTTATCTCTTTAATTCATCACACGAATACAAAACGGAAATTATGCGGAAGCTGTTTGAATTGAAAACTCAATTCGTGAAAACCACGTTTCTCATTGGCTGATCAAACTACACAGTAATTGTTGATTTCCATATAACTTCGTTGTGTGATAGCAAGGATTTTGTTTTAAAAAAACCGAACTGAATAAATTATACACAATAACTACTATTTATCAAAAGGAATTAAAACAATCACAATTACAAATAAACAATTGAGAAGAGCAACTCAGAATATATACAAAAATGATAGAAATTCAAAAATCTTTTATTTCTATAAATAATAAGTAATATGATACGAACTATATATTATTTACATAAGAAAATGTATGCGTTATATTATGAACAATTTGAATGACTGATGATGTATGACGTTTAGATGTAACTTTTGGTTTCTTTTGAATACAGTTGATTGAATAAGTGAATATTGCCTAAGTAAAAAGTATTTTGACAGACAGATTATAATTGTTTTCTTTTAGAATCATACTACATATTTTAGGGCCAATCATCTATAGGTGGAGCTATAACTCCTTGCGATTCCAGTTTATTCCATAGTGTTAAAAGTGGTTCTGCTGTACGTGTATGCCACACTAGGATCTAGGTGAAAAGTAAAAAAGAGATAGTTGTACAGCTGGAAGATGGTTTCAGATTAAATGATACTAAGGAATCAATATATTACGAATACTATTTTATTATTAGCGGAGTGGTTTGCAGTTACTAAATCCCAATTTCAAACCCCGCTTTATCTGCTTGAGATTGAACTACTGGATAGTATCACTAGTCCTCATACTTAGAGAGAGGCACACACTCATATGCTTGGTGAATTAGTTACTGTGGTAAATTACTATCAAGCGAAAAATAATAACTGTATTATGTCTGGAGATTGTAAAAAGTATTTGGAATAAAATAAGCTGAATAATTATACGAATGTACATGTAATATGATATTAGTGAATGCTCAGATTATGTTAATAATTTTAGCAACAGCGAAAGAGATGATTTTTCGCTTCTCCTCTAAAACCTAGGATATTTGTGCATCGATTCAAGTTGCTACATCACATCACAGGAAGAAGACGTATAAGCAGCACAGTGTTAGCAGTATTAGGAAACACTAAGTACAGAAGATAGCATTCAAGAAAATATGGATTCATGAAGTAAAGAAGTCACAAAAAAATTTAGAAACTTAAGATTTGAGAGAAGATAAACATTGAGTGCACCTGCCCCGCTAAATCACCCAAAGTCTCTAATCATTGGTTACGAAAATCGCGCAGATATTACCCAGCCGCCTACACTCATCTATATAGCTTCATCCAATAGTCGGTGACTTTAAGGACTGATGTAAAGTCTAAGTTTGGTTACCGTTAGCTTTCTTTCGACCTACTGCTACACGTCATCATCGTTGGTGGTTGGGTGTAGGTAGTACATGACCTGATTATTACAGTCAACGGATATTTACCGCCTCATCAATAAATTTGTCATTCTCACCTAGTACAATGTATCTAACTTCAACATTGGTTGGTGATTCCAACATCCACGAGAAACACTCTGAAGGCATCTATGATCATATACTATTAGTCTACGAACATCATCTAGTTTCAAGTATTCATTTATGTTAACGCCATAATTTTTATTGTTTCTAGTTTAGTGTCAATGCTTCCGGTTGTCGATTTCTTATCAGTTATGAAATATCTATCATTATGAACAATCAAAACCCGCATTGTTGCCATTATTGTTTTCATTCTCTATCATTCTTGAAATCAACGTCTTAGGTTAATAATAAATAGATAATATTCAGCTTGAATGCTTGTGCTAGTCAGTTAGGTGCACACAGAATAACTGCAGCTGTAAAACACAATATTGGTAATTGAACAGACAAATATAATGATGAAGTGGCCAAATAATAAACAACCACATGAAAAGTTTAGGTGATCGAACAATGAAAGCAGAGGTTAGGTATTGAATCCAATTTTACGACGAAATTTCACGACACATTAAGATTTTTACACTGCATATTTCAAAATAAGTGTAGTGAATACCACTAAAATGTCAAAAACCCTTTCGCGATCCGACAAGTGACCTACTACATAAAGATGGATATGGATCAACAACAGGTACCAGCATACGCATAATAAAATTTGAGAACAGTACAACTTACCTTCCGACAACCATCTGCTAGTGGTTCCAATTCTCTCCAATTTTTTAAACCAAGATCTAACAAAAATTGTGATTCCTGCATTCCACGTAAACGTTTGTAGTCAAATCCAGCATTCTTGTGTTGAAGAATAAGATCAATATTAACTGCAAATCCTGCCATATCAATTGGAAAAGGACGTTCGGGTTTGTATACTGACCACATACTTATAATGTGCGTCCGATTTTTAGACGTCACACAACCCTCCCATGGGAGTTCACCTGCAAATCCAACTGGCCATGTTGAAACTTTGTTTGTACCACGCATCTGAAGTTATGGATGAACTTTTCATACTTAAATTTAATCAATAAACGGTACAAAGAAGTTAATATCTTTTGTTTCTAGTCAAGCTTTTATTTGCATTTCCAGATGAAAACTACTAATGTTTTTGAGCTTTAATACTCTGTCATGAATTTGTTATTTAGTGACTAATTTATGAAATATGTGCTAGCGAAGTAGTTTTTTTGGTAATGAAACAGCGGAGAAAAAATACCAGGGCTTGAAACATTTGAAAGTGAGACAGACTGATATCCTTTTGTCCTGCTTAAACAGACATTTCAAATGGCACTTTGTAACACTAGGAAATAAAAAACTTTATATCCCTAATCTATTAATATCCGGCAAACTAAGACAAGAAGTAATTGATTTGTCGATTTAAAAGCCTATCTATTGAAATTCACTCTTTTCTTCCCATTATCTACAGGGCTGTTGTACCATTTTCAGTATCTATGTAGAACCATGTTAGTGCAGAGTCCTACTTCAGTTCTGTGAAACCTGGTCTATTCGACAAAGGTAGTAAAGCTGTTCATATGACTCGTGCTTTCTAAATGTTCACCCAATTTATGAGAAGTCAGGATCTAAGACGCTAGTTATTTATGAGAAATACCTAACTTCCGATACTCTCTGATAAACTTGATGGTACGATCTCTTCCGCAAATAAATTATTTGCGCTTCTAACCGACCTACCAGCCATAGTAGAATCTGAGCAAACGATATAGCTCAGTAGAATTGTCGTTAATTATAACCGAACTTGAACCAAGTCTCACCTTAAGGTATAAAACAGAACAGTTGGTATGTCAATAACTTTGACAAACTATTCTGATCAATCGTGGTTTTTTCTGACAGAAACTGACAATTAATGGAGTGAAAAAAAAGAAAGTATCCATAAGCTGCATTAATTTAGTATGATGAAAATTAAGCATACAAAAATTTATAAACTTACTTCCTCAAAAATACGTAAATTATAGGAGTTGTCATCATCGGCGATGTATAAGACACCTTTGTTTCTACCTAAAATAAGATTCTGGCGCAACCATTGTAGTCCAAGATTACGTTGAAGTATGCCCTTAGGACGAAACCAAAAGGGTTCATTCACTTTAGGTCTTTCTGACTGTGGTGTTGGGATGTTTAGGTGTACAAAAGGGACACCACAATCATCTAAAATATTTGATACAACCCTAAAAGAGAATAAAGTACACTTATCACATTATCATATTTCAAATAGTTAGAAAAAACTTCACTAAGGTAGATGCGACTAGCAACAACCAAGTTAAATTCAAAAAGAGCAATTAAAAGGTATAAGGCTTTCATCTAATTGAACTCAATTAGTAGTTTCATGAACAAAAGTGTATATTAAGATATAAATGACTGATCAAA